AGTGATAATGCAGTTTTATCATCTCTGTAAATGTATTGGATGTTGGTTAACAATTGTTTTGGCTAAAGTTGCCCAAGGATTGGAGTAATTCAAAGTTATAGGTTTACCTATACATCGTTACTAGTTATTCGTATATATTGTTAATGTTCTATCACAGACATCCAGCACATTACGTCTAATCCAAAATGTTGCATCAAAACTACATAATTTGACCTACTGAACGACAATATGCAAGAGCATCAGCATTCTCTTCTTGCTAAACAAGAAAAGGAGAGAGAGAGAGAGAGAGAGAGAGAAATGTGCGAGGACGTTGTTACTATATGTAGCAGACTCTCCATGAAACAGACAGTGCAAAGGATGAAAACAACTGGATTGCATTCAGGTCTCCCGCATTTATCTACCAACAGTGAAAGTTAAAATTGGTTTGGTGGTAAAAGAGGAAGAGAGGGATAGGATGGGCTTCGAATCCCAACTAATAAAACAGTAACATATTAACAACATTTATCGATAAAAAACTTCCATATTTGATGTTTCTATACAAGCGCAGGAATTGACACGAAGATACCCTATGCAAAATAACTTAGGATAATAAACCAATTTAGGAACAAAGTGCTTCATGTGATACTTTGATGTATGAGTCAAAGGAGGGGAGGGAAAAGAAGGAGAGGTTCCCCTTGCTTGGTTTGTGGTTGAAGGGAGGGGAGTCTCCATGGTCAGCATGGGGAGGAGAGGGAAATAGTAGTAACACATTATCACTTTATTAGTACTAACGGAAAGGAGAGGTTAAATCTCTCGGGTAATTTCATAAACACATTATCACTTTCCCTCCAACAATAGAAGAGGAGACAAATAATGTGATGGGTGAGATTTTAGCCCCGTTATCTCTAAAATTTTAAAAATATCCTCCGTCTCGCCCTTCCTTCCCTCTTTTCCTTTGAACCAAACACATACATTAGTTGCAGATTAGTTTAATATTACTTCACATATATTCAATCGAGGCTTTAAATAGCACATGCGATGTACAGAAGATACTTAGTGAAGCATCACAAAAAGGAATAGAAAAGAACAAACATACTGAGAGAACTTGACGATTAGACCGGAGACAAAAAATAACTTACGAGTTCAAATTTAAATTTGGAAAAAGGTTAACTAACAGCTTTTACGAAAATTGACAAAAAGAGAATGTCACCAGCTGCATGGTCAAAAGAATGCAATTCAAGGAGCCTACTTGATTTAAATTAACTGCTTTATATGTTGTGTTTCATTTCTCAAGTGGATAGCCATAGGAGGGTCCAGACTCCATATCATATACTGTTTAAGAATATGAAACCATAAGGTTGGATTATGATGCATCTATCAAATATAACTTGTCAAAAATTATTTTTCAGTCACCAATAATCACCACAAGAACAGATCCCATCTTTGAAATGGTGGAATCTGTTGGCATCCCTAACTACAATTACTCTTTCTGTGATCTTTGAAATAAACTTAGTTGCAGTGTGACAATCTAAACAAACCCGAAGGTTCTTAATGATCCGGATCTCAGCACCAGGTTCAGTTGTAATAAGGCCAAAAGCAATGGCTAATTTCTCACTATGAACATTAAACATGAGCTCCTTTTCTTCTTCTTCCACATCATGCAAAGCAGTGACTGTCTCTGATTTATACCCCATCTCCCTCATCTTGCATGTTAACTTCTCCAGCTTTGCATAGATAGCTACTGCTTGACAATGAGAACGATCACCAGATACAAAGACATGTGGGGACCCATTAACCTCAATTAGAGTGCACCCTGGAGTCTTTGACAATTTTCTTTTTTTAACTACTTCCCGTACAGAAGCCGCCTTTGGGAAGTTTCTCTCCGCAGAGTATATATTAGAAAGTAGGACATAGTATCCTACACTCCCTGGATCCAGTTCAAAGAGCCTTTCTGAAGCTACACGGGCTATGTTCATGTCTTTGTGAATCATGCAAGCACCAAGCAATGTACCCCACACTGCAGGTCCTGGTTCAACAGGCATTCTCCTTATAAATTCTAAGGCTTTTTCCAACTGTCCAGCTCGTCCCAGAATGTCCACCATGCATGCATAGTGCTCAGCTAAGGGCACAATCCTGTATTTATTAACCATAGCATTAAAAATTTCATCTCCTTCTCTTACCAAGCCAGCATGACTGCAAGCATATAAGACTGAAAGAAAAGTAACACTAGATGGCTGAAACTCCAAGTCCAGCATCTCATTAAAAAGCTGAAGTGCTTCATGCCCATATCCATGGAGCCCATAACCAAAAATCATAGTATTCCAAGTGACTGTATTCTTTTCACTCATCGAGTCAAATAATTGCCAAGCCTCCGAAATATTCCCACACTTGGCATACATGTCAATTAGAGCAGTCAAAACATAAATGTTTGGCTCAAGGTTTTTGCTTCTAATCAACTGATGAACCCATTTACCAAAGCTCAGTGCTCCTAATTGAGCACAAGCTGAAAGAATACTAGTGATGGTAACTGGATTCGGAATAAATTCAGTCACCATCATTTCCTGAAAAAGAGAGATAGCCGTCTCCGTTAAACCATTTTGTGTATAACCTGAAATCATAGCATTCCAAGCAGCCACAGTTTTTTCCGATGATTCATCAAATAACCGCCGTGCCAAATCTATTTCATTGAGCCTGCTGTATATAGTCGTGAGTGCAGTTGAAACAGAAGGATGCAAAATAATACCAGACTTCACACAAAACCCCTGAATACAGCAAGACAAATGCAAATGCCCAAAGGGAGAAGAGACAGGAATCAACCCAACCATTGTGCTAGAACTCACTCTCTCCCCAGAAACAAGCAATTCTCTAAACAGCTTCACCGCACACTCAGTCTCACCATTATAACTAAACCCAGAAATCATGGCATTGTAAGAAACCAAATCCGGCTTCCTAATCATCCGAAACAACAACCTCGCCGTGTCAACATCCTCACATTTTGAAAAAACCGAAATCAAACCCGTTAACACATAGCCATCAAAATGAAATCCAAATTTCAAAGCCAAACACTGAATCCCCATTCCAACTTTCCCCTCTTGCATCTCTGCAACAGCCGGAAGCACCGTCGCCACCGAGGTGGAATCCAACTGCACCCCTTGTGCCACCATGTCTCGAAACACTTGAACAGAATCATCATAACAACAGTTCCTCACCAGTCCAGTAATCATGGTGTTCCACAACACGGTGTCTCTATCATGCATTTTATCAAACACCTTCCTGGCATACCCCACTCGGGAAAACTTACAGTACAAGTCGACGAGCGCGGAGGCCACAAACAGATTGGAGGCGAAGCCATCGACGACGGCGTGCGCGTGCAAGCACATGCCAAGGTTGTCGTCGGGGGAGGCGGCGACGGCGAAGGCATAGGTAAAGTTATCGGGGGAGAGGGTGGTGTTTTTGCGGAGATGGGTGTAGAGGGACACGGAGGAGGCGTTGGGGAAGAAGGAGAAGCCTTTGATGAGAACGTTGAAGAGGAAGATGTCGGGTTTGGGAACGGAGAAGAAGAGGGCACGTGCGTGGCGCGAGGCGCCGACGTCGAAGAGCTTCTGGGTGAGCTTGGTAACGGTTGCGAGGTCGTGGTGGTAACCGTTGCGGATGATCTGCGCGTGGGTTTCGGCAAGGTAAGGGAAGGTGCAGGCTTTGTTGATGAGGGCGAGGAGCGTGTTGCGGCTAATGTCCCCGTGAATCATCTGCATACACCACACCACCTTAGTTCAGACACCACTGCTTCTACCTTTCATGTTCAAAACAAGATGATAGATACGGTTGGTAACGGTAAGTCTGAAAATTTACTATATTTAAAGTTTTTTCGCATAAATTAAAATAACAAGATCAATTATCTATTTAAATTAAATTAATCTCGTTTTTCAATAAATGTATTATTTTGATATGCTATAAATATCAATATAATTTATTTGAATATAAATTTTGAATAAAAATATTATCCAGTTAAAAATATTAAAACTAAAATTACAGTTATTTTAGGATGGAAAAATTACATGAATTATATTTTTATATATTGACAATTTTTACTTCATTAAGAATCTCTTTAATATTGAGATTTTAAATTTAATATTTAAATCTTATACGAAATTTCTATTTGAATATATTTTTAGATCTCATTAATAGAGTAAAGTTTGTTAAAAATATAATGTAAATTACTTAAAAATATGTATACAGTGATATTCATTTATGCAAAATATAAAACCTATGAGTTCTTTTATAAAATCTTTTAAATATTAAGTTTATATATATATATATATATATATATATATATATATATATATATATATATATATATATATATATAATGACTAACAACTTAGACATAAAAAAAAAAAATCTTAATATCTACTCCATCAATCATATTAAACAAAAAAAATATAAAAAGTTTATTAATTACAAAAGTACTGTAATTAATATTATCATACGAAAGAACATGTGTTTTCTTAACTAATGAGTTTTTGGAGCTCCAACGATTAATCGCTAATTATTGGCACTAGAGAATCTTGGGATTCAGTAATAAATAAATAAATTAAATTTCAGTTTTGTTTACAACTCTTTTGTGTACTTGTAAGATGAATGCAACTTGTAAATCTGGAAAGAATAATGTGCTCCTTCCCTTTGTATTTTCTTTTCATTTGCTTGATACAGAGTTGGAAGTGGAAAGGCTTGGGCTGCCAAATGTTGACTAGAAAGGCAAAAATGAAGATAATGGAAGGATATAAAATTGCAGGGGGATGAGGAGGAGAAGCCTAATACAAAAATTTACAATGGTAAAGAATCTTGGGGGTTGATTCTTTCAAGTTTCAGCCGTACATTCCCAAGTATCTTTTTGAACATATTAAATACATTTGTAACGCCTCATAGATTATAGTTTCCAAGAATTTGGCTACAGCCGCAAGAGATTTCTCGTTAGCTTAGAAACAGGGCAGGGTGACGCGTGTTTGAATTTCTGAGATTGGTTACTTACGTACCACCAAAGCTTGCTTGATCTGCATGAAATGCGTCCGAAGGCTATATTCCTCAACCTGTTTACGCCGAAATAATAATGAAAATTCAGACATGCTATACTTGAGGCGATGTTCAACCGAAAGATACTGTAGTTCTCTAATGAAAACATCTATAGATAATGGCAGTTATGCTACAAGCAAACTAGGATTCATTTTGATGATTGTTATTTTCTTATATAAGATATTCATCAAATGGACACAAAATTTACTTTTATAAGACAATTAAATTGATACTTTTCAGATATTAAACGGCAGAATAGCAAAGTGCTACAAAACTTCACTTTGCATGTCAGAAGCAAAAAGTTCCTCCGAAATTACACGAAAATAGAAAGAAGATAAACTTTTGGCCTTCGGATGCATCGTTGTGACGTAATGGCATGCTAAACTTTCTCAACGACTAATTCATTACTTCGGCAGTTCAATGAATAAAAGGGATTATAGCTCAAAAACAAGGAAACTGTATTGCCGCAATTTCCACTGTCCTTGTGGTGCTGACAGTGACACTATCATCCGCTACACCAACAAGGATGGCCCAGCATATCAAAAGCAGCGACTAAGTAGGAAAAATTGCACTTATTTACGATCAACCCAAATTCCTGTAGTTCAAGAATACTAGAATGGTTCTCTAATCACATATGGCTCTTGTTGAATCGCCATAACATAAGTGATAAAATAAAATCAAACATAAGGTATTTATTTCCTACTAATTTATGCTCGTTCTCAACGTAAAAGAAAAATCGAGAATTTTTTTTGTGCATAACTCTTACACTATATATATATATATATATATATATATATATATATATATAATGACGCTTACCTGCATAGCTGTTGCAAAATTCAGTAGCGCTTCACATTCATCAAGCATCGCTTTTTCTTGTGCTGATACAACAGCAACTTCAGAAATTAAATTGTTCATGCCATCCACCTATACATGCACAAAAATTAACATGGTATCAACCCTAATGCCTTTTTGGATTTACCAGAGTCCAAAATGAAATTTTTTTAGGAAGGAAAATATACAATTAGCAGCAGGAAAAAAGTTTGATATTAAATGTTTTGGACCTAGAAATAGCATGAGCTAGGTGATATAAGTGAGTCAAACCAGTAGAACTCCTCAACAGTTAACTCACCTGCGAGAGCAAAGGGCAAATAGCAGAACCCATTGCTTGCATGGCATCAACAGCAGAACAGATAGCAAGCTTCAAATGTTCAATATCTGCCTATAAAAGTATAAACATAGTAATGAATGCTAGTGTCTGTTTGCAGGAATCAAACCAAAAGACAAAAACCAGACATACCTTTGCCCCTCCAGTTAGAGGAAGACGAAGAGTACTTGCCTCTAAGTCTTCTACAGCCCCCGATAAGGCATCAATATGGCCACTTTCAAGTACAGCCCAGTCATCAAGGTAGGCCATCTGAATCATTGATTTTAAAAGGACCACGATCAAAAAAGGTATCAAAAGAAAATCGGAACATTTAAATATAGAAAAAAACATCACAAATGTATCATAATAATTTAAATCAGCCATTAATATGAATCATGAATAACCTGTTATGACAGACTAGCATAGACAATTAGACCTAACTTTTCAATGGGGTGCTAGGGCCACTATATTTGCCTCATTTATAAAGTCCACAATAACTATCTCAAGTTTAATTACCAAAAATAGAAATCCGGAAAAAAAAATTGTAATTTATCATGAACAATAATATATGGCACATAGAGTGATAAATATTTCAGGCAACAGAGAAGTATTACTTGATCATTCAAAATAGAATTCAGCTTCAGTTCAAGCTGCAGCTGCTGGAGGCTGATCCTCTTCCTAATAATTGCTTCCCATATAGACAAAGCAGTGTGCCATACGTTGTACAGTGATTTCTGAACCATTGGACAAGTTCTTGTAAAATGTAGGGAAATGATTTGCTATACAAAATCTTCTTCAAAGCAGAAGAATTATACTAAAAGAATAAGCATCTTGAAATACAGTAAGCCATACCTCTGCATTTGATTTTTGGATGTAAAATACATCCTCTGCTTGCGCATTAACAAATCTCCATTGCAAGTACCTGTTGTAGAGAAGACGTAATTGGTGAGCATCTTCTACGAGGGCTGCACCCTTTTTCCCCTTTTTAAAATCAGCAATGAAGCTGAGAACTGAGATTGCGCTGTTGGATTGGTTGGGTGAATTAATTGGCCTTATTCTAGAAGGACTAACCCCTCTAGGAGGAGTTGTAGGCCTTGAACGAGATGGACTAATACCTCTTGAACTACAAGAGGATAACACTGAAGTCTTACATGGTGATGGGAGCCGTGATCCTGGATTTGACAAGGACTGAGATCTGACTCCAGTAACTGCTAATCCCGTTTTATCCAATGTAATTGCAGGAACAAATTTGTGAGGTCTTAACACTTGAAAACTATCATCAACTGGTTTCACCTCGCTTCCCATTCTACCACTTTCAACAACCAACATTAGTCTTAAAGCATCACTAGAAGCTTTTCGCAAGGGCTTACTAGCTTCACCCGGTAAAGACAATCTTCTCAGCGAAGACACACTAGTTCCTGGAACTGAGGAGTTCAACGTTCTGGTTGTCCTATCAGTATGATCGATACCTCTGTTTGATGCACTAGAACATACCTTCCCACTTATTCTGCTTGGCCACCGATGCTGATCTATCAATCGAGAATGCAAACCATCATCAGGTTTCGAATTCTCAGTCTGATCAGAGGTATTCTTCCCTTTGAGAGGACTCCTCTTTCTCTCTGGCGTAGGCTTTCTTACATTTGGCGTTTGAACCTGCTTGTGAGTCACGTTTGAATTGGGCCGCAGAGTACGATCAGAAGCACTAGTCATTGGCTTCTCCTTCTTGATAACAGGTATGGAAATAGTGTCTGACTGAAAAGAAACGCTCAAACTTCGCATTGTGGAAGGCCAAAGGGCCTCTGGCATTCTGCTACCAGCCACCCTTCTCGACGATAAATGCACATCTATTGATGAGTCCTGGACAGGTGTAGAAGGACTTGGTGGGGAAGGTGGAGTCGCTGGCCTCTTCCTCTCTGTTGATTGAGTTCTTTTGGGTAACAATTTAGATGATGCAGGTGTTGTTGGCCTTGTGAGGCTTGGAGAGGGACATCGCCGAGGACCGGATGGGGTAGCCCGAGTAGGAGAAGGTGACCTATACCGTGAAGTAATTTCCCTCGTTGCCAAGCGTCTGGTGGTGATTGCATTGTTTTTTTCAGCAGGAACCAAGGTTTGTCTTGTTCTTGTTATGTGTTTCCTTAATGCCTGCTCTGACTCACATACATCCATCCACTCTATCCCAATTAAACCACATTGATGGAAGTTTCCATAAAGCTAAACCAAACTTAGCGGCTTTGGCTGTTCGGCAATCATGTGTGCACTCAATGGAATAAGTGAACAGCACAGTTTATCCAGAAAGAAGATCCTTTTCCCTGCAATAAATCTGCCACAAATGAATATAAAGTAAAGATGCTACAGACTGGGAAACTAAAGAAAAGCAAAGAATAAACCCACCCCCTCATCAAAAAAAGGAAAAGGAAGAATAAGAAAAGTGGACATCTTTACAGAGACTCAGATCTGTTAGGGAAGGAATTTGACAACCACAGGCAATAAACACAAGTGGGTATGTTTTATTTACACAAAAAGGCCCGAATCCAACAAGATCAGGACACAGCAAGAAGAATATGGAGAGGGGAAACAACATTTGGTGTAACGGGTGAGAGAAACTCGCGGAAACTGTCTCAACGTACATTTAACGTATTATCATGAAAACGTTGTTGGTTACGGTTAACTGAAGAAAAAAAAAAGGTTGAATTGGCGGGGAAGGGGGTCCCCTCGGAAATTGGGGATACTGGGAAGTGGAATCAATGGAATGAATAATAGAGGGCGCAGGATAAGAAGGAGAAAGTGCGTAGGCTAAGAGAAGAAGAGAGGCTTAAATTTCCCCCTTTTGTCTCTCTCACGAGAATGCCATGGTCGGTTGGGCTGGCAATGGGTTCACTCCACATAAACCCACTCTGTCCTATAACTTCTTCTCTCTCAACTCCTTTTCATGAAAGGGAATTCAATGAAAGTGATGCCATAACTTACATACCCAAAAAGAAGAAAAAAAAAAGTATCTAATCTCTCTTACAAGACAATACTCTCTCCTCTTCCCAAACACACACCCAAGTTAAACTTAATAGAAGGCTTAATTACCATACCATACAATAATACTAACATAATGTGTCATGAGTTTCCCCCTGTTAAAATATGCAGACAGAATTTTCAATGGAGCCTCTTTTGTTTTGTATGCTACGCAGAATATAATATATATGACCTTACTTTAATTGAAGTTTGAACTCGATAGTGGTATTGTTATTTGGGAGATGGGTAAAGACAAGGAGGTCCACGTGCAGGGACGATCATTGTCCATCCCCATAAACCTATTGTGAAAACCTAACATGATTCAGAGACATTGTTTTCTGCAATTCCCTTAAACAAATAAATAAACAATAATATTTAATGGAGTAGTAATTCGGATTTTGACTGGTGTGAAGGAATATCGCTGATAAAATCCAATGAAAGAAAGAAAAAAAAAACCCATTTACCTGAAAGAAACAAACGGTTCTGAACAGAGATCCATGACAGATGTATGGAGTAGCAGGTTCGTGTCTCGCTCACTGAAGACACGTTTAAGTGTTTCACTGTTCATGTAACCGCACAGAAACAATGCTAGTACTAGAGTGCATTGAATGATTCTTATTCCCAAATTCCTCCTCCAATCAACAAAAACGAAATTCAAGCCTTCGAGATTTTCGACAAAATCCACCAGCAGTAAAATATTCCAAAAATAAATTTACTGATCATAAACCATGTTCTAACCACATAACGCGAAATTTAGACATAACCTACTTACTCAATTACTACAAGTTACAACGAGTTTCACACCTTCCTTCTACCGGTAAATAGGTTACGAAGTGGATTCAGATTTCGGTAGCCGGAGTTGAGTTTCGCCGACGATGGCAGTTACGTGATTTTGAAGCAGCGAGGGAAAAGCGAATTAAAAAGAAATTTAAACAACTTTTTCGTGTTACCGAAAAAGGTTTAAATTAAAATAAAAACTAAAGAGAATATGAGAAAACGGTTTCAGTTAGAAAAAAGGAGGGAGAAGTAGGGACGGTTGTTTTCGCGCCACCTACTTTTAATTGTTCATGTCTGTTGGCCCTTATACTGTAATTATTCTTATCATTTTTATTATTTTAATAATTAAAATAATATTTTTATATAACTAATATTATTTTCTTATTTAAATAAAAGGTGTGAACATGTTCTATCTAATTGCTTATAATGTTAACCATCTTAGGAACGCGATGTCAATTATTCATTCATCTACATCTCTATCCAAAATTGACTATTATTTTGTTAAAAAAAAATGTTTTGAAAGCTTGTAATCAAGTACGTTCTTTATTTATACGATTTAATCAATTACTTGTTTCACCTACGACCCTTATTCTTAAAAAAAAGGGGTTTGCTTTTAATTTAATGGTTCACTTAGCTTTCATTTTATATAAATATTAATACTAGGTCATAATTATTCTGTCTAATGACATGACATGATGTATAAAAACAAGCGCATTAATATGTCTTGCTATTTTCATGTATACATCATCTTTTGAATTTGTCTAATATGTAATATATCATTCGTATTCATTTAGTATGACATTTTCTTTTGTTTTTTACGAAATAAATGTGTGGCTTATCACCAAATAAGACGGTCACCTTAATTAATGTTATTTGATAAAACTTCTATTTCCAATTTTAATCTTTCTTCAAACAAGCATTATGTTATGCATATAAACATTAAAAAATGGTTGTAAAATATCAAAGTTGAACCTTCTCTTACTATTTGAGGCCATGGAAAATGATAACGTTAAAAAGAGGAAAACATATATTTTTCTTTATTGAATAAATACCTCCCAAAATTATGTTATTTTGTTTTTAATTTAACCATATTGTATTGCTTCATAAAAAGAAGAATAAAAATTCTAATCCATAAACACTTTTACCATTTTTTTTCAAAATTTAGAAAATAAAAAATAAAAAGGCGACAAAATAGACTAAGTAAACTCTTTTTTTTTAAATTGGGTCTAACTTGATGGCTTAATAGATCAGGTAGGTTATCGAAGAACTACTCGAAGAACATTAGATCTATTTGACCTAATATTATTGTTTATTTTCAAAAAAAATTAAAATATAAATTAAAATAATCTGTCGAATAAATTATTCAAAGTCAAAATTAGAACCAAAGTAAGTATACAAATAAAAATAAAATAAAAAAATCAATAAAAATATGCAAGTATTTCAAAGTTTGTTTTTTGTAATAAAACGTTTAAAGCCATAAATTTATCCAAGTGCATATTATGAGTGGGATTTTGTTGATTCTCCTCAGCTACTAGACCTTGTGATGAAAAAAAGAAGAAGTAAGTATAATTTTAAAAAATTTAAAAGTGTATTATTAAATTACTTTTAATATTTTATTGTTCTAAAGGAATAACATATATGATATATGTATGTGAATAAAAAATATCTAAATCAAACATAGTCGATATCAATTTATGTTTAACTCTTATATGCTATATATTTTAGTAAAATACCAAAGAAAGTAACATGCCTTTAACTACTTGCTTCTTAATTAGTTTTTAACTCGTTCTTCTTTAATTTATTTTTGTTTGATTATTTTTTTACTGTTATAATAAAAATATATTATTTTCTTTAACTTATTTTGTTTGTATATTTTAATAAACTACTAACCACAAGTTAATATGGTAGAAAATTTGGGAATAATTTTTTTTTATAGGTTACTAGGTTAGAATATGATCGAAGAGTCTAATATCACTGGAAACAAGTAATGTTATATATTATTCAATAAATTCGCATATTAATTTTTGTTAAATATTAAATAAAAATATTAATAAGGTTAGAAAAGACAAAATAGTAACAAAACAATTACAGCAGATTATTGAGTAGTTTATGTTACATATAGGAGTTGTTGCGGTTTTTCTTATTCACAAAAGAAATGATTCCTTAAATCGAAATGGGTCACTATCAGCAACAGTGAAAATTCTCTTCCTCCGAGTTAAGTTATCTACTTTTGTTTTTTGCTGTGTGTCCAAAAACATCAATCAAAGTTTCCAGAATTGTTTTGGTGGTTTGTTGTCTGTTTTCTCTGTTTAATGTTTTTCTGAATGGAAGCCAACGGTTACTATTAATGTCGTTCACTTAATATCTACCATCTCTCAAAACCACTTTCACGTTACTTGTGTTGATAATTTCTTTAGGGTTTAGGGTTTCGAAACGATAACCATTAATTTGACATCATGTAGAGTTGTTGATGTAATGTAATGGTGGATGGATGCAAGGTATTTGAAGAAATGAGGAAGAAAAAAGAGTGTTTGTATTTGAAGGTTAAAGGCACATGCGACTTGTGGGGTTTGTGATGGTCACCACATGCAGTGATGCCGACAAGTCATCACACGTATCTCTCTCATGTCCCATCTCGTCTTATGCCCCTCTCTCTCACTGCCTCAAAACATTTTATTATTATTATTATTATCATTTCAACAGTTACATATCCCTACAACTCATCGTATGTTTTTCATTGTTCATAATTCGTGCTTTTATCTATATAACTGCACATTAGAAAAAGGTCCTTCTTAGAGTTGTTCTAGTTGAAGATGAACGGTTTAAATTTATCAATAAGTTGTTGGTCCAAACAATTCGAACACTATGCTTGCTTATCATAAAATGCTGATGTAAAAGTGGGAAGAGTGTGAGTTTGGATTTATAGATTTGGCGAAAGCTATGTGACAAAAGTTAGGATGACATTATGTATTGTCGAAAATGTTTTAATTGGCTTTTACTCTCATTTTTTTTACAGGTTTCATCTTTTTATTTCGGAATTATTTTTCAGAAACAGACGAAAAATATGTCATAGTTAAAATGTTGTATTGTTGGTATATGAATACAGTAAAAAATTATCAATTAGTGTATATTTTATGTTGTTTAGTTTAATAGTTTGGAGTTTGAATCTTATAGGTGAAAAAAAAGAAGTTAATAGATATAAATTTAAACTTCGGTACGATATCAACTATATCTAATATCGCGATTGCGATTTATATTGGAGAATGGATAGGATGAACTGATCCATGAACTTAAGAAGAAAGCTCATGTTAGTATGCGTTTGTATAGCTGCTTTTTCATTCTGTTCTACTGTTCTATAGGCATTAAAGTGATTAAAGTTAGAGGAAATGTTTGGTGAATTCACGTTGAACAGTGTTCATTGGAACGTGTTTATAAATTGTGAATTGAAGATGATTGATCAGAGAAATTAGAAATGGTGCAAGCCAGTTGTTGGTGGTCACGTGAAGGAACAGGAAACACAAACACAATCTGCCATGTCCCATTGTGAGTATTCCACTATGTCAGTCTCTCTATGTCCCTGTTTTTATTCCTTGCTTTCCAAATTTAGATTTGCTGGTGTTTAGTTAAACTTCACACTCACACAGTCTTGTGTATTTCATTTGAGACATGACATAATGTGTGAAGAGTCAAACCCATGTGAGTTTTGATATTAATTATGAACTGTACAATGTTTCAGAATGAGGGCTTTTGTCTTTGCCACATTACAAAATTGCATGATTCTAAATTCTCTTACATTTGCATTGGATACCTTGTCGGTTCCATTTAACAAAGCGAGAATGCATTGGTGTTCATTGAGGCCTGCTACGAACTTATAGTACTATTTATACCCATCATCAACTATCAACTTTGGAACTTCTACGTATAAAATTATTTCAATTATTTCAATTACAAGATGGGATATAAACTATCACATTCATTGGATGATTGATATCACCAATTTCTGGTCAATACTTTTTTTGAGTATTTCAAAAGTTTTAGAAGAAACAAATATTATATCTACTAGATGAAGAATATTAAATAATTATATCATCAGTTATTTTGGATGTTCCTTCTCAGAAGTTTGTCTTTCTTTGCCTCAATAAGGGCAGAGACATTATTTTCTTTTAAGAGATTAGTTTTTCACTCTTTTTCTTTGTTTACAAGAACGTAAACTCGTAAAGTAAAAAAATATAATCTTGCTAACGAATTTAATTTCAGATTTAAAACATCAAACCATACAGCAGATTTAAAAGGCTTTTAACAGTAATTCATTTATATACTCCAAGTGACCTAAGTCTAATATGATTGGGTCATTAATAGCATCATAAATTTTGTTTTGATGATAAATTTTTGTATAACTCATTTTTATAATTTTTTATTTACACTTTAATTTTTTTTACAACTTAAAGAATTAATTTTATTACATGACTAAATATTTTTTATTCTTCAAATTCGAAGTTTTATACAAAATTAAAAATCAAAATTTTAAGATTTCATCATGTCACATATCAACATGGTTTTAATATTAAATTTAAGAATATGACTGAATTATATTAGAAATATTTTTAAAAAAAGTAAGAGAAATATAAAACAATTGATTATTTAATTACGAATTTTAACGTTTTCGAGAACTTGACAATTTTTTTATGATAAACAAATAAAATAATATTAGCAATAATAAAAATTATAGTTTCTAAATTTTTATTTTACAAAATATCCTATCTATCATATGCATTTCTTCTTCTTTATATTTTGGTTCATTCATTTTCTCTTTATTTTTTCACCTTTAATAATGGTGAGAAATGCGAAGGTGAAGAAGAACGAAAGGGGAAGAAGATTTGGACGCCGAAAGCATTTTTGTCTTTACGTTAAACATGAGGTAAATAGCAAGAGGGGGTGTCAATAATAATTTCCCTACTAATATTGCCATGTTTCCAATTTTGGGTCTCATATATGAGCCCACATCATAATCGTAACAAACCCATGATTTTATACATTTATATCATAAAACCTGCGTATATATAGGACAAGTGAGTGCTTGCCATGACATTTTTTCAATGTATGAAATTAAAATATAATTATTAATTTTTAAAAATAAAGTTGATGATAGAAATATTTATATAAAATTTTTAAATAAAAAAATAACATGATTATTTTACTAGATATTTTAATGTGGAAAGAGGAGGTTTTGGGCTTCACATGGCTAGAATAGACCTTTTCAAATTCATTGATGGCGTAGTAGAAGAAAGTAGTTGGGTAGTTGGGTAGTTGGGTAATGGCGATGCAATTGCAATGCAACACTCGTTTCCTCTTCTCTTTCTGTAAGAAGCCATGGGCAACTCATCTTCCATGCTCACCCAATACGACATCGAGGAAGTTCAGCAACATTGCAAACACGCTTGTAACTAACTAACTAACTACACATTCTTCAATTTCGATTTGGATTTCAATTTCATTTTCATTTTCTTGTTAATGATTTTCGCGTGTGTAGTTACGCAGCAGGAGATTGTTTCTCTGTACCATCGCTTCTGTCAACTCGATCGCAACAACTGCGGTTTCATCTCTTCCGATGAATTCCTCTCCATTCCCGAATTCGCCGTCAACCCTCTCTCTCAGGTCTCTCTCTCTCTCTCTCTCTCTCTCGATTCAATTGACCGTTCTATTCAATTGAGTTGTTAACGTTGATATCATTGCAGAGCTTGTTGAGGATGCTGGACGGACTGAACTTCAAGGAATTCGTGGCCTTCTTGTCTGCCTTCAGTCCCCGTGCCACGCTCCACCACAAAATTCAATGTAAATAATAACATCAAAATTATCAAATAAATCAAATCATTGACTCACTTTGCTTCTTTTTGCAGTCATTTTCAAGGTGTATGATACCGACTGCAATGGAAAAGTGACCTTCCATGACATGCTCAGGGCTTTAAGGGATTTGTCCGGATCCTTCATGTCTGAGCAACAGAGAGAGGTCACTTTATATAATTACTACTTTCCTTTTAGCTAATGCTATTTAATTTTGCTATTCTTCTCTCCATATACTACTACACTACAATTTATTGCTTGTTTTGTTTGACATCAAGTTGGTCTTACTAATTATTGCAAAGTTGCTTTCACTTTGTGCTGAATTTAATTTTTATGCACTGTTAGCTTAAAAAGTGTTCTACTATCAACTAATATGAAATTCTTATTGGTATGAATTTTAAAATAGTATTAGAGAGTGTTGATTGAGTTATAAACTCTTTAATATATATGTTCCATTTTTATGGATAAAAAAAACTTTTAAATAGTTATTATAAAAATCAACAAATTTATTTGTTATATATGACGTTTATGATATAAATAACAATGCCAAAAAGTCTTCTACACAATCTATCCGTAAAGATGTTATTTACTCTTTTGTTTTCCAGTGTTAAAGATTGTATAAGAAATCAAAACAAAACATGATAATTTTTTGTATTAATACGCCGTGAAAACATTTCTCAAATCGTAGAGGCTCTTGGCCTTTCACTGTCACCTTCCTAGTTACTATCTACCAAATCAATGCTTGTGTTCACTTATTATTCTGCCCCACGTAATATCAGAGGAAACACTTTACCTCTTACTGCTCACCTTTGTTCCTTTGAAATCAAGTTTGGAATTGGATGTTTCAAGCAATCAGCAGTGCCAATAACAAGATTCCTTGTTAATAAGAGTATGAGCCACCTAATCTGGAAAGCTAAGCAAAAGACCATATGTAACCTCAGGATGAGATAAACCTACAGCTTGGTATCTTTTACAAGGCTCTCAACGTCTGGCTCTAATTGCACTTTTCATCCTTTTAAAATGAAAGGAAAAGAGTGTTTCGTAGCTTCCAAGTTGTATATGTTAGCAGGAGAAAAACATCTTTAGCTTTCTTTTATGAAAAATATAGAAGCACAGTCCTTTATTAACCAAGAAAAGTATTTATGTGAATTGTATTATCCATGTATGTTCTGTAATATATCAGTTGCCAAGTATATTGAAGGATGACGTGATCTGCTCATAACCGCATCTGATGTATTCTCTTGCCTTTGTACATACAGGAAGTTTTGACACAGGTCCTTGAGGAAGCTGGCTATGCAAAGGATTCTTCATTAGTCTTGTCTGACTTCGTGAAGGTACTGAGATTAGCATAATTTGCTTCACTAGAAATCTTAAGTTTACGTCATAAAATCGTTTTAATAGGCGAGTAACGTAACGACTACGGGATAGTGCATTGAGTCTTTTATTACTTTTGTTGTTTCTCCTTCATATCTATTATGATCTTACCATTTATTTCAAAGATATGGAAAGCCTTCAAAATGAATATGATTTTAACGCTAGTTAGGGCCTGAACAGTGATTTGAGGAAGTAAGTTAAGTAACAATGCACTGATGAATTGATAATGTCAAATGAGATATCTATTTTATTGATTTATCCCGTTAATTAGAAGGCAGAGTTGTCCATATGATGCATATGTATTAGCTTGCAGTGGTAAAGGTGTCTTACCTTCACCTGCCAGTATGTTAAACAAACAATAATATCTTCATTTGGATCGTCGGTCATAATTAGCATATAACTCATGTTTGTCTCTTGGTCAATGGATATTGCGTTTTCATACTCATGACTGTCTAGTAGGGTCATACAACAAAATTCTAGCTCATGATTGTTTGAGGGTCATACGTCTTCATACCAATGTTGGTTTTACACCGTGCATACTGAAAACTGCTGTTAACTTGTTATTTGTTACTGAACCATCTTTCATATGAAAAATGCTTGACCATCATCCCCTTTTGCTGGTAGATTCTTGGCAATTCGGGTTTGAAGATGGAAGTAGAGATTCCGGTGGATTAGAGTCAGGATGGCACTATTGCCTTAACAGTATAATATATATAAAAAAGAAACTAGTTATCATGCTTTCTTTTTTAGATTTTTTTAAAAGAAATTTCCTGAGTTTGATGACGGAGATTCTTGGTTCTGGTATTTAGTTCTTCCATCTAATGAGTAATAGATTATTATTTTAGTTACTACGAAACAAAATTATGGATTATAGATTTTTAACAAATACTTTCAGAATTGAGTTCCTATATTATTCTTTTTAATATTTGGAAAATTTGTTATGACCCACTTAGGTTTTTTAACTAAGTTTGTGTCCTTATTTACTACACTTGCAAATACTCGGAACTCTTATTCGATATTTCTATTTTTTTTAATGGGGGAATTTTTGAAAGATTACAGTTGTTTGCTCTATTTTAACGGTTATTTTTAAAATCATAGCATAATTTTTTTTTATTTTTTATATTTTTATTCTTCACCAAATTTTTAATTAATTTTTCTATTATGATGTAAAAATGGAAAAGGTAAAATAAAAAAATGATATATGGTTTATTAAAACCAAGAACGTTTATTATAATTTTTATTTCCAAAAAAACTTAAAACACTTAAATTTTTACCAAGCAAGTCTTTACAATAAGCAATATTACTACATAATTCGCTCTCACAAAATTCGATAAAATAAGAACATTATTAAAGCTACATAATTTTCAGTAGCTTCACAATGTTAACAGGGTAGTTCTTTTTCATTATTTCTGGTTACGTTTAATAAATTCCAAAAAATAACGAAGTGTTAGCAAGTAGGTATAATGTTTTATAAATTAAAATACAAAGTAAATGAATTAAGATTTTTAACTTTTGATTTACAATGTAACCCTTGTTTCCTTTTTTAGTTAAGAAATAATATATATATATATATATATATATATATATATATATTCAGTTATTTTAAAAATAAAATTAGAGATTTATTTTAAAAAATTTAATAATTAAGATGAATTATTATTTTAAATTATTAAATTATTTAAATAAATAAAATAAAATGAATCTTTAAGTTTTAGTTTGTGAGTAAATAAATTCATCTTTTATATATATTGTTTAATTTGTTATTGCTAGTTGAAATTCAAACTACACGACAAAATGGAACGGAAGTAAATACTAAAGAGATACGATAATAATGGAAGGCACCCACCCATCATCCATCGAGAATTACCTGGATAATAAACATTATTACTACTTAAAAAGATGGTGACTTGAATAAATACCATATGATAGCATTAATATTGGTGGTAACTTGAATATAGTTTATTCTTCATCACGTGTTCGTCCATCTTGAGTAAATAAATATTTTTTAACAAATTTCACAATAGCCATTTAACAAGTAGTAGGTTGGTTCGTAAGTACGGTACTTAAACATAGACCTAGTAATATTAATTATTTAAAAGATTGGCTATTTGAACATGATTTGCTTGTGAACTACTTATTTATACAACTATTCTTTGTGTTTAACGCATTATAGTTAGATTATACTACCAGATTTCATTAATCATACAAAGTTAATGATGTGTAATGTGTTACCTAGACCTATTGAAATAAACACAACTGTTTAGATAAAACATTGTTTAAATGTTACTGGAATTGAATTCTCGGAGTCCTATTTAACAAAGTCTAACAATTTACTATATTTATTATTCAATTTAATTAAAATAAAAACTAATTAAACATACATGTCTGATTTAGTGTAATAATAAGTTCATTAGTTTTATTTCAACAATATACTATAACAAATATAATAAATGGTTAGAACCTATTAACATGGGATTCAAATTCCACGTTAACTATTGCAAAAGTAATATTTTGATGGTGTTTTCTTTTATTTATATATCCGCATGATTTGGTTTGAAGCATGATGAGGAAGCACCATGCGCGTGTTGGAGTTGACATGACACATTTGATTATTCGCTACCATGGTCGTGGCTGTGGCTCATTGTAGCCGTTGGAAATCATGAAGAATGGACTTTTTGAAACCCCAAAAAGAAAATAAATAAAGAAAAAAAGAATCGAAAAGAAGGGACTACCTATGAAAAGAAAAATGGAAGGGACCTACGAGGAGACGAATAATCAGCGTCTGAACCAGGCACAGAATTCGATGTGATGCAATGCAATGCAACAACATAATAATGCCAAAGACAACAAACGTTCACCAACCTTGATTTTGTCTATGGTACAATATAAGGAAACTCACTATCTGTTTTCTTCCACCGTATCATCACCTCAGGGTTCCTCCTCTTACTGCAAAACTGGAAAAAACCCCAACACACACAGGTTTGATTCTTTTGTTTTTTTCTCGCTCGTGTAATGAACCTTGAACCTTCTTTTTTCAATCTTGATACAAGAAACTTAGGTTCTGCTTTCGAAATAGATAAATAGAATTGTTGGGTACATTCTGGTTTCGTAATATATAAATTTGTTAGAAAAACGTGGCTGTGTTTTTTAAGGTTGTGCAATATGTTCCTCTGTAAACCTCGCTTTTCTATTAGGATTTTTTTATTTTTTTTAAAAGAAAATATAGAAAACTATGAATGTTAAGATTTTCTACTTTGCCTTGTTCCGATCATCGGATATATAACCTTGTCCTGCTTTCTGATTAATGTTGTGTTGTGCTGCATGAGGGTAAATATCAATTACTTGTTTCTCAACCTCAAACATTGCGTGGAATGGACTCTGAAAGCTTGATTTTCTTCTTTGGTTACGTGTGTATGATATTTTCCATGCTCACGTACCTTAGAGCTGTCATGATAATTTAATTATGAAATTTATGACTTGGGAGAGAAAAATAATTCTATTCTGTTGAACCGTTGTCATGAAATTGAAATTGCTACGTTGCGTGTGTTCAGGAATAAGTAACTGCTGATTGCTTTAACATTTAAGAATCACATGGTAGAAGGCACCATGGCTGAGAGTGATATAACAGCCATGAAGGAGACACTCCGTGCCCAACAGCAACTTCTGCAGAAGCTGTATGCAGAGTTGGATCAGGAAAGAGAAGCCTCTGCAAGCGCAGCCAGTGAAGCAATGGACATGATACTGCGGTTGCAAGGAGAGAAGGCTGCGGTGAAGATGGAGGCAAGTCACTACAAGAGAATGGCAGAGGAGAAGATAGGTCATGCTGAGGCCACTCTTGAAGTATTCGAAGAGCTTATGTATCAGAAGGAAATGGAAATTACATCTCTTGAGTTTCAGATTTCGGCTTATAGAAACAAACTTCTCACCTTGGGGTCTGATTTCAATGCTGGTGATCTTGTTGAATTCACTGAAGACCTGTTGCTGAGTACAAGTGCATCGAATGATCAAGTAGAAAGTGATCTAGCTAGTAGTAGCGCGATAAGAAGGTTAACTTCATTGCCCCCTTATCCGGTAAAGAATAACATAAGATCTACTAGGAAAAGAGAAAGATCACCTAGTCCTGTTCCAGTTCCAGATATGTTTCCCAGAATAGTGGAAAGTGATGCCCAAGCAGTCACTTCTCCAAGCTTGGATTTGCCAAGAAAATCAGAGGACTATGCAGAGGCAAGTCTTGATGCATACTGGAACCAGATCAAGAGGTTAGATGAAAAAGTGAAAGAGATTTCAGATTGTAAAGAATCAGGAGGAGAACAATTACCCACATTGAGGAGCAGAAGAGGGAGATCATGTTCAATATTTTCACAAACAAGCCATAAGTTAACCTTTGACCAAACCGATAGAGTAGCCCTTACTAGTTGTTCAGATAAAGAAAATCAAACACAGGATAAAGAGGAGGCTGTTGATATTCCCTCCTGCTCGGCTAATGTCCATGATGTGTTTGAAGTTCCACAAACACGTGAACAAGGGAACAGAAAACTTGAGAAATGGATTTCAGATGCAGATGACAGGTTAACAAAACCAGACCTGGTATCGGAGGAAATCATTGAACCGCATGTTACACATGATATGAACAAGCTAAAGAGCATGCTTGGTGGAAATCTTGATAGCAAAATATCCAGTCCAAAAGACATGAAGACCATTTTTTGGCAGAGAAAAGAAGGGTTGGAAGATTGCAATACTCTAGCTGAGTTTCAGAAGTTGCATCGGAGAATTGATCAGCTTGAGAGGGAGACAATCAGTGCAAGGAAAGAAATTATGAAAGAAATGAATGGGGAAGAGCATTTGAGGTTGTTGAAAGACATATATACTGAACTCAAATTGATGCAATCAGAGATGAGAAGAGGGAGCACCCCAAAACCCCCACCTAAGAGGGATACTCATGTGGATCCACTTCAAGAGGTAGTGTATAGTCTAATGCTTTTGCCTTTTCCTTTAAGAAAAAAAAAAAAAAAAACTTTCTGTTGCTTGCAAATGTCTCCTTTCTTTGATCCTCCCATGCTGAGAGTATTTGATAATGTTTTACATTTGATGATGAGAGGGTGGGATAATTTGGGGCAAGCTTTTGTTTCTTGAACTATTTGTGTTCTTTTTCACCTTTGAAAAATTCTATGAACAGGCAATGGTGTACTTCTGGCTTTGATCTAGTAAATGCAGAATGGCCATCTCAGACAACCAATGAACTTGGTGCAACATTAGGTGTAAGTATGGTTTGTCCAAGAGAGGACTGAATATATGTGGTGTAGGCAGGTAGAATAGATCTTCAAAACTGAATATTAGTTATGAGGAATGTAAATATCATTTCCTAATTCCATATTTTACACTGGGGGGTAGTATGACATTGAGTTGACATTCTTGTGTGGTTTTGTATGGGGTCTGTTTTTCCCCGAACAATATACATCACTTAGTGGCTTAGAAATGTCAAGCAAAATTGATAGCGTATTGTGTTTTTTTGGCCCTCCTAATCGATTGTGCTTTATATGGTCAATATTATTAAAAACTTATAATCGTAATAGATTGTTTGATTAAAAAAATTAATTCTTGTACTCTTTCATTCATTTGGAAAGAAAAATGAGAGTTTTTAGCGTATCACTATAAATTCATATGGCGGAATATAAATATAATTATAATTTACTAACCTTGCATCTTAGAATATAAATTTGAGTTTAACTCAATCCCAAAAACTAAATTAAGAGAAGTAAGGACTTTCTAATTAGAATTTGGTTTAACATCCAATTCAAACCAAAAGCTAGTTGAGGAGGTGAGATTTGTTCTTCATTTAAATATTTTATTTTTTAAGTTAGTTGATGTTACATCTCCATCATAGTATAAGAGTATAAAATACATCTCCTGTTGTATCATATATTTTAAGCTATTCTTTATGTATTGTTTGGTTTTTTATTTATTTAATGTTACTAATTTTTTGCACTGATTACCCAAAAACAACCCTCGCAATCAAATAAATTAATAATAGTAGTATTATCTTTTCAAAAAGTATGAAGTGCAAGTCGAAAATAGGAGGTGCATGAAGCAATTACATGAATAGGATGTTGTGATTGACAATTGGGGAAGTCCGAATAGTCCAAGCCCATACCCTACAACATCTTATCTCTTTCATGCTCATTTCTTATCATAATGCTGTTTGACTTTATTATTTATTTATTTCATGTAATAAACTTAAAATAATCAATTTTTTAATTTTATAAAATAACTGAATTCACAAAATAAAGACTTTGTAATATGTAATATGTGAGAATTGTTTAATAAAAAAGCCGGTGAAACACTCTTATTGAGATATCAGTGAATTTTTTAAAATGAAATTTTAAATCAAATTGGAATTTAAAAGAACTACATGAACACGTTTCATATAAGTTATAAAAAAACTTTTCCAATTAACTTAATTAAAAACTATTTTTCTTCAAAAATTACTGTATGAATGATTGTGGAAGAATGAAATGTTCATAAACCAAAAAGTTTTAAGTTTGTAATTCTTTCTTTGGTTTATTAGAAAAAGGAGAAGAGTGGTGAATCATATTATTGATAGAACTCGTGTATCAAAGTAATCCATAATTAGGGAGAAAATGAAATACAAACAATTAATTTATATATTCTTCTCATTTTCTCATAATTTTATTATAAATATTTAATTTTATACAATATTTTTCCTTTTAATTTATATATATATATATATATATATATATATATATATATATAACTTTCATTTCTCTTCTTTTCAATTACTTTTTATTAAACAACTTAAAAAATTTAATGTTCAATTTTTTTTCTTTTTTCGCTTTCTATTTTAAATTCAAATATATTAATTGTTTGTAAGTTATTATGTTTATAAACAAGATTTTTCAATCTTTAATAAATTATGATTAATTATTATATTTAAACTATTATTTTTTAAAATTTTGATCTATCACAATTTTATTTTTAAAATATATCTTGATGTGTCAAGGAAATAAAATATTTATAAGTTATATTTAATCTAAATTTGTACCTAACGTAAAACTTATAAATTATTAAAATATAATCGAGTCAAGGCCTAGCTAACAATGGATTAAAAGTTTATTTCTTACCACGATAAACATAACATTCTCTCTTGAATCAATAACTTTTTTTTAAGTTCATTAAGATAATATAGTTAGAAATAATTAGTACTTGTTGGTAGTATATATTTTATTATTATTTTATTTAAATTAAATATTAAAATATTTATATTATGTTTTAGAAAAATAGTTATTATTTTGATTTTAATAATTAAAATTGAGATATTATTAATATTTTATATTTTTAATCTATATATCAAGTAATCAAATAAAATATTATGATTTATCATATTATACCTCTCGTTAAAAATACATGTTGAAAACCTTAAATCTCAATAATGATATACCTATAGAAGAAATAAGAAGGAAATTTCTTGTAAATTGTTATCTCACTTTTCAATTATCAAAGTTATAATCTATACGTTATAATAATGTGATCCAATCTTAATCTTAAACTATTATTTATTTATGGGAAATTGTAGGAAAATATTACATCTTTCATTTACTTCTTATAAATCCCATGGATCAAATCAAAATTCAGAATAAAAGTTGTTTATTTTTGTTTTCACAATGATTTCAACAAATTAAATTGTATGTTCAATTTTTCTTGAAATTTAAAACCACTTCAAATTTAAATAAAGGAGGAAGAAGATGCTATTGAATGTAAATGGCAGAATGTAATTTGAAAAGGGAAAAACAATTGCAAGAAAATTAAGTTGAAACTTACGAAAAGAAAATGATTAGAAGAAGTGCAAATTAGGATACCAAACTTCAAATGTAAAAACTGGGAAATAATCAAAAGAGAAAGATTGACCTGAAAATTTATGTCTGGGTAGTAACATTTGTGAAGCGTCTTAATATTACACAGAATTTATCTAATTAAATCATTATTCTCAAAATTCATTAAACCTTCCTATTAATACTTACGAATCAAAGTTAATCCAAACAATTTTTCATGATTAGTTCTTTCTTAAATATACCTTCTTTAAAAAATAAAATAAAATTTGTTTTATGAAATTAAATTTTGATTTATTTTCATAAATATATTTAAAAAATGTGTTTTTTTTTATCGTAAAAATATTATTTTATGGATCCATAAAAAAATATTAATAGATAAAAATTAGATATTTATATATTAAAAAAATTATTAATAGATAGATTTGTTAGAATACTAATAATTATCCTAATTTTGATTCTAACGATCAAACATAAATATTATCTCATATTTATAAATATGTTGTAAACTGAATGCGAAATCGCACTTGAATTATTATAATGATGGTATCATTGTAGAACACTACTGATCTTATGATTTTTCACCTGAAGAACACTTGTATTTTCCTTTGGATTTTCTCTCTTGATGAGGATAGAAAGAAAAAACATGATCTGAAACTTACGTTTTGTGTGTGCTCCCGCAATGAGACCATGACCCTTTAAATAACCGAATTAGATTAATTACTTAAGTTTTAGTATTTCTAATTTGGTTCCTCATCAAATTAAAAATTGTTCTATAATCTCTACACAATTTTATTTTCATAACATATACCTTTAGCTAAACTTTTTAATGTAGTCATATCACTTTATTATTTGACTTAATAAATAATGGTCATAACATATTTAAATTATATATATATATATATATATATATATATATATATATATATATTACCCAATATTTACCAACAAGATTTGGTTGAATTTGTATTAAATAGATCAAATTTTTAATAGATTAATGAATTATTTTTCTAATCTGAAATAAAAATGAATCATATTTATACAATTTGGCAAATAATTGAATACTTTTACTCATTAATTTAAACAAATTAAAATCTGACCAATCATAAAGTGAGGCTTTGAGCACTTAAGAGAAATGCAAGTTGACAGCATTAATTTAATTAATTTTGTTTCGCTCATGGGATTTGTGGTGGTGTTAGATAATAGTTTTACATAAATGAATCATGTGCATAGATACCTAACTCAGTTTAATGAATTGATAAGATTCTGCAGTGGCATAAAGAACAGGAACACTTAGGGCGTATGAATGGTGCATGAACCTACTCCTCTTTGTTTATTTAATCCAACTTGACACCGAAAGGACTCTGCACTATTTTATAAACTACTCTTTAATTTAAAGCTCAAGTAAGAAGCAAATTGTCATTGCATCACGCACACATGTCGTAGCCAATATTTTTGTTAATGTTCCATTAGGAATGAAGTTGCTTCAATTACCCACGAAAAATCTTTTTTAAGAATATAATCAAAACGTGTTTACGAATAAACGATAATATTATAATATATAAATAAATATAATTTAATTTAATTTTTTATATAATATTATAATATAAAAAAAGATATAAATAAATCGAAATCTATAACACTCTATATGTGAGTATCATTAAAAATGGGAAAATATCAATCTCATTGTTCGATATAAAAATATTTTTAGGAAGTTGAAAACATGTAAGTAAGTTGAAAACATGTAAGTGAGAGAGAATACAAACCTAATATATTATGATTTTGAGTTGAAAATGATATTATATTATCTTATGTAATTAACTTGTATCTCTATACATAAATATCTCTAATAATAACTTGTAAATTAGGAATGGTAAAACTGATTAACACATCCTCGTTTTTGTTCGTCTCGTCTCTAGTATGTTAAAAATAAGACGGGATAGTCAGGTCAGGTTACAAATCTCAATCCAACTTTTCAAATGATAGACGAAAGGATTAACTAGTATGCTAATATATATTTTTTATATGAATTTTAAAAAAATACATATTTAATTATATAAATAATTAATTATTTATGAATTAATATTTTTATTAGATAAATTAAAAAAATTATTATATGTTTAAATATCTAATTATAGTTAATAATTTAAGTTTAATGGGATAATATTTATAATTTAAATTATAATATATTTATATATTTCAACAACATAATATAAAAAATATAATACTTTTAATTACAAATATGCTAACAAGCTAATTTATCTTATTTTAGGTCCGTCGTCGAATTAATAGATCAGATAAAATATATCAAAACAAGCTAAACAACTAAAAATAACGAAAAACTAATGTCATAAATCTAATCCATTTAAGTTGAATAGTTAAGTATAATTTAATGAGAATTTTTAGGGTTTTATATATGTATATTTTTTATATATCATGTGTGTATATTTTTTATTTACTCTATGTATATATAGAGTAAAAATATTACAAAATATCAAACATTAATAATATCTCAATCATAAGTGTCTAAATTAAAATAATAACCTAATATATTTTTAGGTTCTCTCTTAAAAGATAATAAAAAATTTTAATATCTAATTTAAATAAAAGATAATAAAGTAATATTATGAACATTCTTCTTTACTTTAAGTTCCTTCAAGAAATATTCTTCATTTTTTTTTTCTTTTCTTTTATATCCTCATTTGTAATCAACTCTTCTTTCATCAAATCTAAAGTGAAACTTTTTCCTCCAAATGATTTTTAACTGCAATTGTTCTTGTACCTTTTACACTCATTTGTTCTCTATTACCCATTCTCACTCTAGAAATATGTGATTCGTTGAATTCTTTGAAAAATTCTCGATCATGAGTAATGTGATTTATACAACCACTGTCTATAAGTCAACTTGTGAATTTGTTGATTGTAAAGTATGTTAATGCGAGGAGAAGTTCCCCTTCTACAACCTTGACGACTTCTTCTGGTTGTGATTTGCATATCTTTTCTATATGTCCCAATTGACCACATACATTTGCGACATTTCACATCAGGCCTCCACTAACACCTTTTGGGTGTGTGATTATTTTTCTTGCAAGAAGAATAGATAGAAAAGACTTGTGATTTGATACCTTTGTTATTCTTGCATTGGAGAAAACCTTTACCATGATATAGTAAATAACCTTCACTAGTAGCATGATCTCCTCTCATTAATCTTTGTTGCTCTTGCACTTGTAAAGCATGTAGCACTTCTGCCAAAGTAATATTAGACAAATCCTTGTGTTTTCTAATGAAGTAATAGATGCTTCATATCTCTCTAGCACAGTTACCGATTTTTTTCTCAACTATCCTAGAATCAGAACATTTCTTGCCTAACAATTTTATTTTGTTAGTAACACCCAACAATTTGTTTGAGTATTCATTAATTGTCTTAGACTCTTGCATCTTTTATATCTCAAATTCTCGAATTTTCTCGTCCCATTCATATTGATTTTTCAAATAATCCCAAATTTCTTTGGATGACTTTAACGTCATAATTCTGGTGAGGATAATTTGTGAAACATCAACAAACAAATATGATTTTGTTTTTGTCTTCCTCGTTTTTTTTTTCTTTGTGAAATTTCATTTGAGTTATAGTGAGATTTTTTGGTAACGAATCAACAATATAATCTTCTTCCACAACTTCCTATACATCCAATTCTTCAAGATAAAATTACATTTTCACAACCCATAAGTCATAATTTTTGCTATAAAAAATTGGAATAACGACTTGTGAAAAATTTCTTTCTCCTTTCAATATATGGAACCAAAACTCTTCATACCACTCGATGAGATTTTTTAAGGTTTTGTGTATGTATATTTTTTATATATCATATGTGTATATTTTTTATTCATGTACTCTATGTAGATATAGAGTAAAAATATTACTAAATATCAAACATTAATAATATCTAAATTATAACTACCTAAATTAAAATAATAATCTAATATCTTTTTATCTTCTTTCTTAAAAGATAATAAAAAAATTTAATATCTTATTTAAATAAAAGATAATAAAGTAATATCCCAATATAATTTAATTATGAATTGGATAAAGGAATTCTCATTGACAATTACCCATTTTGTAGGTCACCAATGACTGGTGTTTCGAACCAAATGGCCATAGAAGATTCATGCGTGATACACATGTATTTGGAAGCAATTCTAAGGATGAATTATAAAGTTGCTAAACAATCTATATACAATGAGGTTAATATGACTTTTTTTATAATAATAAGATGCTATTTTACCAAATAGAATTATGCAGAAACATCTCTCTGAGTACGTATGTCATACGGATCTGTCCTACTGGCTGCTGCGCTTTATCCAACTTTGGAGCTGATACGAGATTAATTTTTGAGAGATAATAAAAATTTATAAAGTTGGTTCAATTTTTAATCTTTATTTAGTTATAATTGCATAGTTTTTAATGAATGTTAACTAATAAAACAAACACTTTCAGGCAGAAACTTGAACCAATGATGTAATTGAAGGGTGGAGCAACACCACAACCTTTTGGAAGACCCCACCTTCTGCCTCTGAGAGTGGAGGATTGGCCCACCAAACAACACTTTAAACTTTTTGTACAATTTTTTTTCTATTAAATTTCAAGTAAGAGTTAAAGCTCTTATTAAGTAAAAATTATAAAATTAAGTAACAGAGGGAAAAAAAATATTTTTAAAACAATTTTTTTATTTAAGATGAAGTCATATTATCTTTTTATTATGTAAATATCGAACTAACATTATTCCTAAAATATTTCATCTGGGGATGAGAAGTGTTTCCACCCAAGACAAATCTAGATAATTCTCCAATTAATTCAAATTATAAAATCACCACGTAAAAGCTACTTAATTTTTTGCATTTTTGGGACTAAAATATATTTCCATACCATTAAGATAGCATTAAATTTACTTCTTTTTCTAATATCAAAATATTTTTTTAAAGTTAGAAACTAAAAAATAAGGGCTGCATCAGAATATATAGATCGAATGTGAGCTTGTTAATTCAAAATAATAATAATGATAATAATCTGAAGGTATTGGATTTGATTGTTGGAATACATTTAGTTGATTTTTCTGGCTATATATCTTTATAATGGAAAGGCCAAGTTTTACGAAGCAATATGCAATATTATATGGTTTGGATAATGTTGGGTTGTTGATTATCAACTTTTGGAACTCGAACCCATAAGTGAGGTTCTTGCATTGCAAGTAGATTCAAAGCTCTTGAGGAATCAAATTATGGTTTATAATCTACCATAATTGATTTGAAGCCGAGGTTAGCAATGGAATGAAAATTTTGACCTTTATGAGCATTGAAGAAATATTAGTTGACATTGAATGAATAGTTTAAGAAGTGAATATGAATAACAGAATGATGTGAAAAGATAGTCAAGTTGCATATTTGTTTAAAACTGTTTTCCAAACATTCTCTGGCTTCATGTTAGTTAAGGTTGATCATGTGAACGACAACATGAATTATGCAATCTTGTTTCTGATCTCTGTCAATGACAACTTGACCCACCGACGTAAACAATCATGGCAAAGTTTCGTTCTAGTGCTAAATGATCTATGCAATCTGAATAGGATTCATTGTGGTTCTTTTCTTTTCTTTTTTATCAATCTCCACTTCATATATATAACTACTTAACTGCATAAAAGGTAGACAGAAAGACGAACTTTTATATATATATATATATATAACCAAATATCAACTTGATCATCTAAAAGAAGTGATTGGAAGTAGAAATAGTGATCCTCGTGTTTCACTCAACTTTACATCACAAACATTTCAATGCAATTCAATCGACTTCAAATCAAGTTTTACATTTACAATAAATGAAAATTGAACTCTTGGTGACTAAAATCTTCTCCATTAAAGAAAACACTACCCATTAAATAGTATTTAATGTTTCAAATACTTAAACTTTTTTTTTGGTTGCAGAAAGAATTAATGTTGGGATTGACTTGAATGACGGGTGAAGGTTGACTTAACGACGTAGTCCTTCAACCTCTCCATCTCTTGGGCTATGTCGTGCATGGTTGGTCTTGTTGAAGGATGGTGCTGAGTGCAGATTAGCCCCAGCTCAATGAGTTCCAGAATAACATCTTTCCAAACTTTGTTGTGAGGGTTTGGCAGGCCACAAGGACAACACCTTTGAAGGGCTTGTTGAACAAAGTTTTGAAGGTGGTGTGGTTGTGTGTATAGTTTTTTAAGCCATTCGCACAAGCTTGAGCCTTCATGGCTGAGCACATCTGTGGGGCGTCTACCTGAGACCATCTCCAACACAAGCACTCCAAAACTGTAGACATCACCTTTAGTTGAAGCATCTTTTCCCATTCCGTACTCTGTGTAATGGATTAATGGAGAATAGTCAATTCTACAGTACAGAACTGTTTCATAAATAGCAGATATAAGTCATAACATTCACACAAACACACTCACAAATCAATAAAGGTTTATTTTTTAGAATTTTTTTTTTCTAACTTTGAATTTCAATTATGAACAGTTTTAATTTTCCTACACTGTCGATTACAAAAGTGAACTGTCAACTCAATAGAAACTTATTCAGATATAAGAACAACCTTTTAAAAAATTATTATAAAAATATGTTATATAATATTTCTATAGTTGGATAATAGTATCAAAATATTTTGCTTGTTTCTATACAAATATTTCAAAATAAAAAATTTAAACAATATAACATTTTTTTTGTAATAAACGAAAAATAAAAATAGAAAACATTTTCTGAGATTAAATAGATGTAAACTCAAAATCTTATCATACTTCCATTTTGAGACCAAATTACCAAGCTAAGAGTTTACCAGTTAATTAAAACTGATAGGTCAAAGTTTCTTAAAATTATCATCATATATAACAATCAAGACCATAGTATAGAAAAAATGTTGGATCACAATTCACGAAGTACATACCAGGAGCTATGTAACCAACCGAGCCACATAACAAGGCATGTGTTGAGCTGAAAGATGAGATGCTGGTGGATGTATTCTCATCACTTTGTACAAGCCTTGAAATTCCAAAATCAGTAACCAAAGCTGTCATATCTTCATCAAGGAGTATATTGCTTGGCTTAAGATCACAATGCACCACTTTCACTGGAGAGTAATGGTGCAGATAGGCCATTCCCTCAGCAACATCACTGCAGATTCTTACTAATTGAATCACATTCAATCTTTGGCTTGGATATAGATGCCTCTCAAGGCTACCATTTGGCATCAAGGGAAAAACAAGAGCATTAAATTCTGGCCTACAACAAATTGTTATGATCCTCATTAAATTTCTGTGCCTTATCTTTTTCAGTATTTGGCATTCCCTTCTAAAGCTCCTTGAAATCTCACCATGTGCTGTATCCAACACTTTCACGGCTACTCTTGTATTATCCTGTAGCATTCCTTCGTAGACCTGTCCAAACCGGCCTGAACCTACTAAGCTTGAAGAACTGAAGCCTCCAGTGGCTTCTTTAAGCTGTTCATATGTAATTCTTGGGTACTTGACCTCTTTTGTTCCCTCTTCTACATCCTCCAAATCACCTCTACTAACAATTGCAATTCGTTTTTTCACTCTTGACTTTATTACCATTGAGTACCTAAAAAGTATGCATAGGAAAGGGGTGCCAAATAGTAACACAGGAATTAACAAGAACACTAAATGATAACTACATTTCTTGTGACATTGTTGCATGCCTTTAAATGAGCCACAGAGATCATCATTTCCCAGGAAAGAGTCTATTGTAAGATTTGAAAATGCTCCCTTTTTTGACACTTTCCCTGAGAATTTGTTGAAAGAGAAATTAAGTTCCTTCAGCGAGGGAGACAACTGCATGGACTCTGGTATTGCCCCGGTCAACTGATTTGAAGACACATCAAGTGCTCTAATATAGAGCAATTGGCCTAATGAATAAGGGAGAGGGTTTTCAAAGGAGTTACCAGAGAGGTTGAGGTACTCCAGTGCTATGCAACTTTCCAGTTGTGGTGGGATGCTGCCAGAGAGGTTGTTCATGGATAAATCAATAGCTAGAACCATGTCCATTTTGCTGAGTTCTAATGGTAAAGACCCTTGTAAGTTATTGTTTGATAAATTCAGGTATAGTTTCAAGCTACCCAAGGCTGCAACTTCGGCAGGAATCAGCCCAGTTATATTGTTGTGAGATAAGTCTAAAATCTCCAAATTGACACATTTTCCCAGACTTGGAGGGATTGTTCCAGAAAGCTGGTTGTCATAAAGTAAAAGCCTTCTTAACTGGGGGAGATTTGCAAAACTATCTGGTATTGGACCAGAAAGCTTGTTTCTTGACAAGTCTAGAAGTCCCAGATGCTGAATGTCACCAAGGGTTGAAGGAATCTCACCAGATAGTGAATTATTTGACAAATAAATTCTTTCTAACCTATTCATATGGCTGAGGCTGGGAGGGATTGATCCATTTATTAGGTTACTGGACAACTTCAAGAAAGTCAGGTTGACAAGATTGGCAATATGTGGAGGGATAGAGCCATATATGAGATTTTTTTCTAGGTGAAGTTGTTGCAGGCTGGAAGGAAGATCACCAATGTTATGAGGCAGCTTCCCACCAAGATTATTTCCCGCTAATTCAAGTTCTTGAAAGTATGATAAATTCACCAAGGAGGCGAAGAAAGGCTCAAGGTTGGTATTACCATCATGGCTAATAAAATTGTTGTATGACAAGTAGAGGAATTGTAGTTGTGGCCAATTACCTACAATCTTAGAAGGAAGCTCTCCACTCAACATATTCAACCCCAAATCAAGCCATTTTAGCTTGGTAGAGTTTGAAAGAGCTGAAGGAACATTGCCTACAAGCTTGTTAGACCAAAGTAACAGGAACTTGAGTTCTTTAAGAATACACCCTTTGTTCAAGGGGATTTGTCCCCCTAAGGAATTATTAGAGAGGTCTACATAACCTAGTGATGTCCCATTGCAGAAGAGTGATGGGGGAATCTCTCCCTCAAGATGATTGCTTCCCAAGTCAAGGTAGTCCAAGTTGTGAAGTGAACCAAACTCGGATGGAATGTGCCCCTGAAGGAAATTCCCAGACAAACTGAGTTGTACAAGCTGAACCAAATGGCCTAGTTCTTTTGGAATCCGACCCACCAAAAAGTTCTCAGAAAGATCAAGAATTTGCAAGGAAGAGATGTTAGCAAGTGCAGGGGAAATGGTGCCTCCTAGAGACCTTCCGCTGAGATCAAGCTCTATGATCATGTCACTTGCATTGTTGCATCTCACACCTGACCAATCACAAACATGAACACCGGGTGACTTCCAACTCTCTAGAGCGTTTTGAGGGTCTGAAACAATGCCTGACATGAATGAAATAAGTGATTTTTTCCCATTCACGATGCCAGCATTTTCTTCCCCAAGAACAGTAGAATGAACAGAATCCAGAAAGAAAAATAGGAACACTGTTAATCCAAACAAACCCATCATGAATCAATATATCTTGTCTTATCTAAAACAAGGAAAAACAATGCTGAAAACCAAAGAAACTAGTACAAGAACTGGGGTGACAAATTAGGCTCAACGTGTGTGAATAAAAGGGGAGCACTTAATTTAAAGGGATCACTAGTGATGGAAAATTTGATAAACCATGTGCCTAATTGCCGTTGAAGTAGCAAACGAACGTTTGGTGCCTACGATGTTTGACTTTGAAGCAGACATATAAGGAAATGACACGAGAGCAACGTTAGGGGGTGTTTAGCAATAGTGATGCAGATGTCAGCATAAGAGCCTAACATTGTTTTTTTATTAACCAAGATATCATATGATATGGCAAATTTGTGTCATGCAGCAGTGGTTGATAGATAGAGATTTTGAAGTAGTGGATTATGTGCTGTTAAAAAGGATAAGCTAGGTTAATAGGCACGCCTTGTGGGGACTGTGCTGACAAAGTTGATTTTCCTCTTTCTGAGATGCACTTGTATTCATTCATTTCTGCTTCGATTTCAGCGTTATTTCTTTATTCATCTCCACATATCTGAACACTTCCAATGCCAATTTTAACTACCAAAGGTGGCGGGACGCCGCGATACTCCTGTAAGATTTAGGATTATACAAATGGAACGTGACTATGTAGTCGAATATATTTATAGAAAGTTGTAAAAAAAAATTACATAATAATTTAAATCAAAATAAAAACGAGTTTTATTTATTGGTGTTTCATGAATAATCTTGACTAATAATACTAAAATCATTAAAAAATATATATAAAAAAATGAGAATACTAATATGTTTTTTATATAATTAACTTGAAATCCTATTATATTGTCCTTCACGCAAAATATTAACAAATAGATATTAATACAATTTTAATGCATATACAGTTAGGTTCTTTTTCATTTACTTGTCAAATAAAAGTATAAATTCACTTCTCTATTTTGATCATACAGAACATGCCACATAATATGGCAGATATATAAATCAAGATACGTGGGTTACCACATGTGCAACCAACATAACTATGCAACTAAGATGATATATTAAAGACACATAATTAAAAGCAGAAAAAGGCTGATGAATCAAATAGTATAAATAGAAAAAAAATTTAAAGTTATGGATGATTAATATTTATTATACTTACCCTTTAATTCTTGAGAATCATTAATTTGAGTGTTGAAGTATCTTATGTAGATACATTAATAATATTTCAATTAAAAAATAAAATATTAAAGCGGTTGTATAATAATATAGCAAATATAAAATTTAAAGATGATACACGATCCTGAGAAATTAATGTCACAACACTCGTAATCACAATAAACTTTAAATTTTATATAAAAATATTAAAATTAATATTTGTATCATATATAATAATTTATATAAAAATTAATAATTATAGACTTAATATTCATCTAATTATTTACTTTTAAATCTAATAATTAAAATGAGTTATATTTTAGATTATTGAATTAAAATTAAACTTTAGTATATATATATATATATATATATATATATATTACCTTGAAAAAATAAAACATAAATGAATTTTACACATAAATTATAAGCATAATCAATAATTCATACATGCTATAAATAAATAATTGTAGAAGAAAATATAATTAAAAAAATATCATCACAAATTATATTTTATTAGGTTTTATGTGCGTGAGTGTGACCTTATGGTTTTCATTTACGCTAATCCATGATTATGCTTTCAGGTTGGTTAGACTATTGCAGTGGCTTGTGTTAGGCGTTAAGATAATGCATATTATTCCACGAACAAAAAATCTTATAATATGTTTGGACCAAAAAAGTATATATAAAAAAACAATTTTCTTTATGAATTAATATTAAGATGAATTTATCCTATAAATTTTTTTTTAATTTCTCTAAACTTTTTAAATTTATATATAAACTAATTTTAATTTATAATCTTTTTATCTTATAAGTTTTTATATAAAAAAACTAAAAAGATTGGTCTGATATATTATCGATCCCCTGATGATATCATAGCCCTCCTCATATAAGCTATAATTGTTGTTTTCATTATTATAATAGTTTTTAACGTGATTACAATTATAATAATAAATATTTAGGGTAAATCACTATAAACTTTCTATAATAAATAAATATGTTATCATAATTATAAACAAAATTAATAAAATTTCAAGTTTTTTTTCTGACTAATTTAATCAAAACAAATATTTAATTATTATACGATAACATATTTTTACGAATTAAAAAATTAACGAAGTTTAGAAGGAAAAAAATGGAAAATGCACTTAAAATCTGTTTTATGCAACAGAACTTATTTAGTAATTATATGATTGATACAATTATGGATTAGGCTAGAATATATTTATTTTAATTTTTTTCTTTTACATTTAAAAAATATTTATTTTAAATATAAAATTAACTATCATAAATAGTTAGTTATACATGTTTTTGTAATTCCACTTAGAAAATTTGCATAATTAAACAATTCAATTGGAATAAATTCCAAAATATTTTTTTTATCTATCCTATTTCAGCATTTTTTTTCATGTAATTTATTCCAACGATAATTCATTATAGGTATAACTCATTTGAATAAAGAGTAATTTTTCATAAATATTTTAATTATTTCTCTTAATATTCTATAAAGTAAAAAAAAATGGTAAAATATTTTCCTATTATTCATTCTAATGGAAACTATTATAAAATTATATTAAATATTTTTAAAATGTAAAATATATCATATTTCTTATAAGTATTCGCGGGAAGATGTAGTTAGAAAATATAGAATTATTTAATAGATATCGAACAAAATAAATAAATATAATCTTAAAAACATAAAAAAGGTTTTAATTATTAATAGAGTTTGTAATAAAGTTGTTTGTTATCATCCCAGTCTTTTTTAATATCACAAATTTTCAGAGGAAAATGCTATAAATATATGAGTCTATAAATTTAATAATTTTCCACAAAATTTAACTATATTATATTAAGAAAAAAAACCCTAGTAAATGGAAGAAAATATTAGCAGAACGAAAATAACAAAAGCAGGGGAGGGGTTCAAGGAAGGTTTTGATGTTCTTCCAATTCCAACATTGTTTGGACTGTCCACACAATAGCTTCAATGGAATTTACAACTTCCTTTCCCTCCCCTCAACTACACAGGGGAATGCCTCCAACAAAATTTCAATCTCTTCATCATTTTCTCTTCTTCTCAACCCCTATGTCATCCTTTTCTCCTTCCTCTATTATTCCACTAACAATCAAACCCTCAAGAGCTCAATTTCATCTTCTCTCTGATTCATTCAACCACAATTTCGTCCAAGACCTTGAAAATTGTCACGAACCACTTAATGGGGTTCACCAAAGCGAGGCCCTTGACCCACCCGAGAGAGTAATCATCCAAGACTCACCTGGGATTTTGAACGACCTGTTGATAGATGATATTGAGAAGGAGAAGCACAATTTGCTGAGGAGGAGGCAGATTCAAATGGAGACTGAAGAGTTGGAGAAGATGGTGGAGGAGTACAGAGATCTAGAGAGAGAAATGCGTGAGAAGAATCTGACTCCCAATTTGCCTCACGTGAAGGCTCTGTTTTTGGGGTGGTTTGACCCTCTCAAGGAGGCAATAGAGGCAGAGCAGAAGTCAAAGAGGTCGAAGAAGCACAAAGCGGCGTTTGCACCCCACATTGATTCCTTGCCTGCGGCTAAAATGGCTGTTATTGTTATGCATAAGGTGATGGAATTGGTGAGTGTGCAGTATCATCACGCTGGCTGTGTTCTCCTCGTGGATGCTGCTGTTCAGATTGGTATGGCTGTGGAACAAGAGGTACATCATATGACATTTTCGTCTTTACTGGATTATCCATTGAAGGGAGGTGTTATTCATTTATGGCCAAGAAAGTGGTAAAGAGGGTATTGGATTGATATTTGAGATTTTACAATACTATTTTGGCATAAAAAATTCTCGAAAATTTTGTGTAAATATACAATGACTTTTATTATCAATGTTTGATACTTTATATTCTACTGCATTTTATCATACAAATTTAATAGATTTGACAAAAAAAATTATGAATATAGTATTTGAAAAGACTCAGTAGATCTTTTAACAAAGTTCAACATTATAGTAGTATGTAAAAGATGATAAATAAATAATAATATTTAAATAAGAAAAGTAAAATGAATATAATTGTTCTAATTTTTTAATAACTAATTGATTCTAATATTCGTGTCCTCTCAAGTATCATATATCCACATATTTAGAGTTCATATTTAATATCTTGTATTTACTATTGAGAACCATGCCTGCGGCCAGGGATTAAATGTGATGGCAGAAAAAGAAAAGTCTGACAACTAACAGAAATGACAGAATGATAGTTTTGGAAAATCTCAAGGTTTGAGTGAAATTGTTAGATCACTTGAAAACCATCCAACTCCATCCTAAAAAATAATTCATCGAAATTTACATGATTTTAATACCAAAAGACCTTTTACAAGTTGTAAAAAATCTTCATTAAATATCATTAGATTTTGTTGTTTTTCTAACACCATAAGATTTAACACCTTTATATTGTGGTCCTTGTTGCATTTATTGAAATTATGAGAAATTGAGGATAATTACTGTTTATGTGACCACAAACTGTATTTGGTTGTCCCAATTATTGCCAAAATTGCGGTCATTGATTGATTTTCAAAACCTTCAAAGTGACTTTGTTAGCCCTTGCTAGAATGGTTTTTAGTTGCGAGTGTCAATTTTTTTGAAAACTACAACCAGATTTTACATTTTAAAAACATAGTTTTTAATTTTTTTTTCTAACTTTTTGTTTCAAAACAAATTGGTTTAAAAATTCTCTACCATGTTAAAATTGATTTACAGGTTTATTTATATAGTGTTGCAGTACTGACAATAGTGATAGAATGAGGGTGTGGTGATACGATAAAAGTGATATCATAAATAATGACAATGAGAGGAGTGATGATAGTAACAGCAAAACAACAAGGGGAATGGTGGCGGTGGCAGTGTTATAGTAATAACAATGATAATTACGGTTATAATAATAATAATAATAATTATATGAAGAGTCACTTGACAGATAACTCTAGATATGCTTTTTCAATACTATAAACCATATTTCTTTTTTCTTGGTTTTGAAAAGAATGTTATATTTTCAATTGAGTTAAAAATCATTTCAAGACCATTTTGGTTGAACATGTTTTGTTTTGAAAATCGCATCTAAAAACCAAGAATTGAAAACTCAAGCCACCCCCAAAGGGACCTTAGTTTCTTCTGATTTTGTGGTCCATGTATAAGTTTTAAGGACTATAATGAGTTTTGTTTTGTACCTTCTTAAAATTTAATTTATTTGGGTTTATTTGAGTGTGTTGATGTTTTCCCTCACCTACTGAGATAAGGTTTTGTTGTTGATGTTGTTATTACTACTGTGTTATTGTTTTTAAATAGAAAATGGGAAAATGGGTGAGTTTTACGTCATCCTTTTGGGACATAGAATAGTGAAATGATAAGCAGTGAGAGACTTCCCAAATGGCTAATTGGCATGTTTACAACCTGTTGCCATATCTTAGTTGTTAATAAGTGGTTTTGCTGGTGCATTTTGCATGGTGCCTTGCATTGAAGTTTTCAGTAATGTGTTGTGCTGGCCTCTTAGTCTGCTAGTGCTTTTTGTGACTTTTTTACTGTTTTCACTTGAAGTTTCTGGCATTGGGAATGAAAGTGAAATGAGATGTTCATGATGACTCATCACTTTACCCTTTGTTTGGGTTGCCGCTCTAAGCTTCCTGATATAATTTTGCCAAAGGAAAGCACGTGTATCTCTTTGTTTTTTAGAAGCTTTCCACTGGAAATTCAAACCTGCTATGAGCAATGAGTGATACGATTGAGGTTAAATCCTTTAATTACTCCTTTTGACTTGGACCTTGTACAAGGGGGCTCTTTGCCAATGAATTCTCACATCCAATTTTACCGATGTGGAAGGAAAGATACTAGTGGGAGGAGTTTTGTTTCATTGAAGTTTTCTTTTGTGGTCCTGTGTCACTTTTCTTGGTTGTTGTTGCGGTAATCTAGCATTAATAGCGATGTGAGATAAGAATTGCACTCATTCTTCTTGTTTCACTTCCTTTATAAAATACATTTTTGTTTTAATTATTTTATTGAACTTTAGGTTAGGATTCATAAGTTCCTGGAAAAGACAAGAACTTACCAGAGTAAGAAAACAGAGGCCGATGGGGCAGACTGTACGGATAATAATACACAAAAGTTACGGAAAAAGGTAAATGGGTTGATTAAAAGAAGAAGACTGAAACAGGTTCAGATGCTATTGAAAGAGGAAGAATGTGGCCCCTGGGGGCGCGAGACGCAGGCAAAGGTTCCTTTTAATGTCTGAGTATGATTATCTTTGACTTTATTTTTTTAATTGGAAATAATAAGTGAACTCTACGAATTTCTGCAGCTGGGAAGTCGATTAGTAGATTTATTAATTGAAACGGCATTTGTACACTCTCCAGTTAATCAGTCTGCTGATACTCCACCTGATATTCGACCAGCATTCGGGCATAGATTTAGAGCTATATCAAAAAATCCAGAGTGAGGGTTCACCTTTTTCTAAAAAAATTAAATCAATATAATGATTGGTTTGATAGTTTAATCCTTAGCAACTAAATTGCACTATCAGATTAGAGAAAGTGGTGATTGGCTGTTTATTTGAATGTATGATACTTTTAATAAATTATTATTATTATTTTAGGATTCTCAGAGACTAGCAGAAATTAGAAGGTATTGTGGTGGAATATAGTTGTATCTTTGCTTAAGGAAAACGAGGGGATAAAAATCTCACATTTTGAAGAGGGACTCGTATTTCATATGTATGTATTGTATGATAGATCTTTTAAAGTGTGAACAACAAAAATCTCCAAATAAAGGTGTTTAATGATTTAATGAAAGTAACTTTTTTTCACCCATGTGATTTTATTTTTATACTTTGAGTAAGTTTTTCATATTTGTAGGCAAAAGATTTTGAAGAATTATGGTGTTATAGAATGTGATGCCTTAGTCCTTGCTGGGATGGACAAATCTGTAAGTTGAGAAATCTAACCCCCGCCCCCCCCCCCTCCTGATGTTTTAACAATATTATGGCCTTGAAGTTCAATTTTTCCTACTAAATTGTAAATGTTTTCATTATAGCTTACTGAGCGTGAAAGCGAAGCAAATTAATAATTTTATGTATAACAATATCTTCCTGTAAATTAGTTTTTGGACTTTTTATACTCTCCTTCCCAATAGAACTTGCATTTAGGTGGAGTTATACGAGGAACCTAACACCTTATTGCTTTGCGTAAACTTCATGCTGAATATTTTGTGCTTTAGAGGACTTTATCTTTTTATCTTTTCCTGCTAGTGCTAGATAAAATCATGATTTGGTGAAATCATTGAACATTCACAGTATGTCTATCTTAATTGTTCTTCTTTTACTTCTAAATCTGTTTAGGGTTTTTATGTTAGATACTGCTTATTCTTTCATAAAGGAGGGGATGACACATGAACATACATATCTTAATCTGCTTTTATATTAATCTATGCATTTATTTTGTGCAGGTTAAGCATATGTTAATGCCTTACATGCCAATGTTAGTACCTCCAAAAAGGTGGAAAGGGTATGGCACACGGAATAGCTCATACTAGTATTTCATGTCGAAATATCTGCATTGGTTGGATTTAATGAGACTTAGCATGATTTATTGAGCCATGTTTAAACCTTTCTCAAAGCTAGAGAGAGGTGGATGTTGACCTAAGAACACAACATAATGTGTTATCCAATGACGAGTATAAATAGTTCTTGCACTATAAGGCATCAACCATAGGCACAGTTGCTCATACTTGTAATTCTATGGTTTGTCTCTGATAGGTTCGGTATTGTTTGTAAGAGAAAGAATAAATAAGTTGTGTGCCAATAGTATCTTAAATATTTAAATAGTTCAAGGAAAGTTTTGAGGGGGAGAAAAATATTAGTTTGTTTGTAATTGGAGTGAGGAGAGTGGGGTTCTCTCGAATAACCTCGGTGGATAACAATTGTAACTCTGTTTTTAGAATCCATTCTATTCTTATGACAGAGGCAGAAACTAGATTCGAGTATAATAATAAAGATTGTCATGATTAGTGTATTTCATCTTGTTTTGAATATTAGTCTATTAGTCTCTCCCAATCCTTATTTGTTGACCATAATTCTTGTCCTTCTAATAATCTAATTCATAATTCTTTTTATTAGAAATTTCATGTCGACTATAAATATGACTAATTTATAAGTGGATGTAAATCTTATCTAACAAGTTGATTTTATGAGGTTGAATTAGGTTGAAAGCCCATTAAAATGGTATCAAAATCTATTCTAGTAATGTTTGTTAGGTCTATCATGCTACCCGCTATTGGGTTACTATTGGACTACCAACAAATATCTAGTCCCACTCTACAAATGTTCAATCCTTGACGTGAGTGAATGTGTTGGAGATCTTATACCAACTATAAATATGGTCAAATTATAACATATAAGCGGGTGTAAACCCCAACTTATAGGTCAATTTTGTAGGGTTGAATTAGTCTAAAATTCACTTTCTAAGACTTTCTTATCTCAATATCATCCAAACTTAAAACTCCCGATCACATTGCTCTAGGTGTGTCAAATGCTGAAGCTAGTGGCATTGATTAGTCCTCTAAGTCAGTCAAAATTGTTATATAACCTTCAGTTCTGATTCTATTCCTATAGAGAATAGAAATACAAGGTAGACAATTGGTACATTATATAAATAGGTTTCCAACGAACATGCTTCTAATGACCTCAGAGACTCACTAACATCTAGGTCCTAGGTTACCTTTTCATCTTCAATGTATGAAACTTGTGAAAAGCCAAAACTATCTTCAAAACTTCTATAGCTTTTGCTTCTTGCTTCAAACATTTGACTTCCTCTTTTTATATGTAACATAGATAGTCCACATTAGGATACAATGTTTTTAATAGGAGGTATCTGTGACCATATAATTTGATTTGTATTTATGCAGATAGATAGCCTATTTATAGGAAATTTGTTGAAGATTGTGTAATTAGGACCATATCTATAGCTTTTGCTCCATTCCCCCCTTATTTGTTTGCTTATATTCATGCATCCTTTGTACAGTTTAATCAATCTGAAATATGTGTAATTCTGTAATCTTTTCATTTGGGCTCAAGTGGGAACAACAAATTTGAATTGAACATCGAATTTAATAACTTATAGACATTTCTTTTGAATACGTAAATAACTTGAATGTGGTGAAAATACAAAAAGTTGTAAGGGAAGCAATTTTACATCATCTTTACAACCTTAATTTCTTAGGTGCTTCTCGCTGTTTGCATGAGACTGCATGTCTAGTATCTTACCACACACTTTCCAGGTATGAAAATGGTGGGTATTTGTTCTTAACATCTTATATCATGCGTACTCATGGATCCAAGAAGCAACAAGATGTAATGAAGAATGTTGAAAGGAAACAAATGCAAAAAGTTTTTGAGGTACTATATAAATTATATTTCCCTTTTTCATTACCAAGGAATGTGGCAATATTCCAAATGAGTGGTTCCTATTTTTTTTATTAAACACTATTTAATTTCTATTAACTTTCAGTTTTTGTAGTCTTCTACATTTAGAGGTGCTTTGGATTGAGAAATTAATTATATCTTAAGCTCATTTTGGGACCATTCTTTCTAACTTTCCTTGCACAAAGGCATAATACTTATGACACTTTCTTTTTTAGTCTCCTTCTGATACTATGCATCTGGTGTATAAACTTAACCTATTCTTCTTTTAATGACACATTTGTAGGCCTTGGATATACTTGGCGACACTAAATGGCGAGTAAATGGAAGATTACTTGGTGTTGTAGAGTCCCTCTGGGCAGGAGGAGGTAACATTGCAGGTTTAATTGATCGTAAAGATGTAAGCATAAACAATACACAGCTTTTCAAGATATCTTTATATAAGTTATTTTGCCTTTTTTCTGTTTTTCTAATTCTTTTGAAAATAAGATGGCAAAGATAAATAAATAAAAGAATGTTAAACATTACCTATTGTATGTAATTTTTATGGCCTACATATTTCTTAATTGAGTTGTAGGTTCCTATACCGGAGAGGCCAGCTGTTGAGGAATTAAAACAAATTCAAGAATGGAAGTGGAGTGTAAAGAAGGTAGAGAAAATTAATCTAGAGAGACATTCTATAAGATGTGACACTGAACTTAAGCTTTCTGTAAGACCTCCCCTCCAATTGTCAAATACTTTTCTATTTTATATTTTGAAGAATTGAAAATTCCAATTTCATGTTACATTAGGGCCCTATGGTCTTGCCTTGATCTTGCATAATAGAATTTGGTTCCATTTGATAATGAGTTTCGTAATCTTAACTAGCGTTTCTATAATTATTTTAAGGTTTAATTATATTTTTAATTCCTGAAGTTTAGAACAATTCTGATTTTGGTCCCCCATATTTGAAAAAAGGCCTTTTCAAGTCGCCAAAAAAAAAGGTTTTATTTCCTAAACACTATAGTTGAGGGGCTAAAAATAGGTTAAGATCCTAAATCTTAAATACCAAACCCTAAACCTAAAATTTTAACCTCTAAATCATAAATGCTAAAAACTTATTTTAGTCTCTCAAATTTAGTGTTTAGAGATTAAAACCATATTTTTTTCAATTTTGAAGGACTAAAAAAATATTTTTTAAATTTCGGAGAGCAAAACCAAAAGTAACTCAAATTTCAAGGATTAGAAACATAATTAAACCTTATTCTAAGATCCATTCCATGTTTCACTGTTTGAAAATAATTACAGGATAAATCTGAAACAGGTGGCTCGGAAAATGAGAGAAGAGGAAGGTTTTTATTATCCCCACAATGTTGACTTTCGTGGCAGAGCATATCCAATGCATTCTCATTTAAATCATTTAAGTTGTGATTCATGTCGAGGATTGCTTGAGTTTGCTGAAGGGCGTCCATTAGGAAAGTCTGGACTACATTGGTTGAAAATACACTTGGCAAATTTATATGCTGGTGGTATTGAAAAGTTGTCTTATGATAACCGCCTAGCTTTTGTAGAGAATCATCTCCATGATATATTTGACTCTGCTGATAACCCTATTAATGGAAATCGTTGGTGGTTAATGGCTGAGGATCCTTTCCAGTGCCTAGCTGCTTGTATTAATCTGTCAGAAGCCTTAAGAAGCTCGTCACCAAATTCTGCTCTCTCACATCTTCCAATTCATCAGGTAAAATGTTTCATTGGAAGCCTTAGGATTGAAAAGAGATTTTTAACTTTGCACACTACTTTTATTAAGTGACCAAATTGACCCCAAGCTCCTGTATGAGTTTATGATGCATAGAAAATTTCTGCCAGATCATTAATATAAATTATGTTATTTAAATGGTAATAGACAAGCATACGAAAAGTCAAATCCCTCATATGTATCCAGCTTTCAGTTTAATCTTTTTTTTTTTTTTTCTCTTTTTGATAGGATTAAATTGATAGAATGGAAGATTTCGGAAAAACAAAAAAAAACTAGGCAATGAGCCTTTTTTTTTATTATTATTAAATGTCTATTGGTCAATGTAACCTACGCATACAATGAGGTATCCGAGAGAACTTTATTAGCTATTCAGTTATAGTTGTATTTCCCCTCTGTTAGCCCTTATATACGCTCTGGTCTCCTATTTATCACTACTCCTCCCTAAAACTTTCACCTTGTACTCAAGGTGAAAATCTGAAAAATGAAGTTGAAGGTCTTGCATTGTTACTTGTAGGACCCCAAGTGATGCGACCTTTTCCTTGTTTGTTCATTTTCAAACTTCCTCCTCCTTGATTCTGGAATTGGGTTCCGATTTAAGAGTACTCACCCCCTTCTTTTCATTGATCCCATTCCTTCATTAATCAAAAGTGTGAGGTCCATCATCTTCAATGAAGATGGCCTATGGATCTTTACTTCTACATAAATCTCTTTCTTTAGATCATTAGCAAATTATCCACACAAGTATTCTTGTTGAGTGATCTCTAATGGTCCAGTTAAAATCTCAAATTGCCTCCTATACTCCTTGACCGAAATCTTTTGCATCCGTCCGATTAAAATTTTGAACAAGTTTTCCACCATTGTGCGTGAAAATATTTCCAAGATTGCTTATTTAACTACCACCACTTAAGATTCTTTGCGCAAGATTCCTACCACTTTAACAAACAAAGTGCCTCCCCTTCCTTGGCTACCAAGACTGATTGCATTTTTTTCTTCTTCATTAAGGTTCCTTAAGCAAAAATACCTCTATATTCTCCCTATCCAACCAGGTGCTTCATCTCCTTCATAGATAGGTAGTTCTAACTTCCTAAACTGTCCCTCATTTTCCAAATGCCTTATTTTTGTGATTGAACAAACTGTTGCCCCCCCTGTACATTCCTCCTCTCATTTTAAAGTTCCCATGTTAATTCACCTCAAGATTGGAATTCCCTTATGATTACCCACCATTAGAGATGTGATTTGATTACATTAAATTGGGAAATATGATGATATGGAAATATCTTACCAAATAATTTACCATTATTAGATATTGACTTTTGTTCTTATTATTGTATCTCTTTTTCATTATAAATAAAAAATACTCATGTGTATGCAACACAATTTATTTTATTCTTTCTTGATTTCTTTTTTCTCAACATGGTACCATCATTTATGAGTTGTTTTGTCACTAATCCTTCAACTCCCATCATTTCACCAAATTTTTGGATTAATCGATCTTCCATTTGTTGTAGTGATACTTGTGTCAGTTCCTCCACTTCACAAAATTCTCTATCTATAGCTTCAATTTTTGCATTCATTTTCTTGCGAACTATTGAAAAACATCAATGGATTGTTCTTCTCGGATACCAATTGATAGGATTCAACTGATAGAGCAAATGATTTTCGAAAAGAGAACAAGGCAATGAGCATGTACTCTTAGTAAATGTCTATTAATAAATGGGACCTAGGCATACAACGAGGTATTCAAGACACCTATCATCTCCTTACAACTTCTGAATCAGTTCTTAACTTCCAACTACCACCCCTTATCTTTTTACTTATAAGTTATTCAGTTAAAGTTGTGTTTCCCCTTTATTAGCCCTTAAATATACTCTCTTAAACATTGGTCTCCTATTACTTTTACTAAAAACATTTTAAACATTGCTAATAACACTTCTTTGATTAATTTTAGGATGGTTCTTGTAACGGCTTACAACACTATGCTGCTTTGGGAAGAGATGTTGTAAGTCTACTTATATCCCATTTTGATTTTGAAATCGCTCATTACACTTGAAATAATCCCTATGTTTTTTTATTAAATTTTTGTACTTCCTGAATTTTGTGATAATTTTAGTATGATTCATTGTTCTATAGCTTTCTTCATTATTTTCGTTGAGTCACTACATTTTGAAATGCCAATGTTATTTGGGTTTATTGGAGATCTCCTAGATATGATTAAATTATAGTATACAAGTGGATATTTACATCATTTTATAAGTCAGTTTTGTAAGAATTGAGTTAGACTAAAAAAAAACTCAATTTTATATTCTAGAAGATTGAATAATTAATCAAATTATTCTAATTTGATTATGTCTGGGTCAAAATAAAATCTTCTTATTTAATTTACTCCCTTTTATTTACTTTTCTTTCTACATTTATTATGTAATTGGAAGACTTTCCTATATGTATAAATATTTTATTATTGAATAACATACACGAGAATTATTCTTCCTTTCCTATGTTTTCTTTCTTCAGCGGTCCCTAAAATCGCATGGTATATGAGCATTGGCCCTAATACCATGGTATCCTGCCATGGAAAAACATCCTATAGTGGGAGAAAATCCCTTCACCACTTCTTTACCGAATTTTGATGGTTATGAAATTTATTATCCTCTATAATATCTGATTCTCTGTCCATGGGTACTAATTTATAGCTTGTGAATGGGCTCAATCTGTGAAACTGACCCTTGATCAAAGGAAAGTAGGGCTATCTGATAGAAGTCACTCTCAACCAGACGTGACCGAACCCTTTCTCAAAATGGAAGTCAGAAAATTTTCTAATCATCACATGGCTGATTAACTCAATGGATTCTTCCATTGGGAAGCCATACTTATTCCTCCAAACTGTGGGAGATGTGACAAGTGTTCTCTGCGCTAGGAAAGGACTCTTGAAGGAAAATCATGCTGTGAAAATCTGAGGGTACAAGGATACAAGAAATTGAAAGTTCAACTAGAAGGAGAAAAATGTAAGTGACCTTGGTGTGAGCATTATAGAAAGTCATGTCACACTAAGGAAATCGGCTGGAAACTCCACTGAAAACCATCCAACTCAAAAAATAAACCAACCGAAGAGGGTCACTCTTTCCAAACTTCAAATACTGAAAATGTGGAGCAGAAAAGAACTGGTATAAACTCTTTACCACAAAAATGTGGTGACTCCATCCTCATCTCTAGCTCAAAAAGGTATGTCTTTCTCTGCTGCTCTCCTTAGTTCCAAACTTAATTCCAAAGCTCCATGGATCATCAATTGTGGAGCTCCTTACCATATGACACTGTTCTAAAAAATTTTCCACTTGTAGTCCTTGTGCATGCCATAAAAAGGTCAAAATAGTTGATGGTACCATTTCTCCTTGTTTCCGAACTTGATTCCAAAGCTCCATGGTTCATTAATTATGGACTGTCTGACCAAACTGTTCAAAAGTGTTTTACACATATAGTCCTTGTCTAGGTTATATATAAAGGTCAAAATAGTTTATGGTACCATTTCTACTATGGCAGGTGTTGGTTCTATTCCTATATCTAAAACTTTAACCCTTCACAATGTCCTTCAGGTTCTAAATTTATTATGTAATTTGTTGTCTATAAGTAAATTAACATAAAACCTTAATTGTTTAGCTATTTTTTATTCCCTTACATGGAAATTTCAATAATTGAGCTTGGGGAGGATGATTGGCAGTTCTAAAGTTGTGATTATCGATAATGATTCTAGAGAAACAAAAAATTTGAAGATATCTCTTGCAACTGAGTTTGAAATTAAAGTCCTTGAGTCCCTAAATTATTTTTTGGGAATGGAGGTTTCAAGATCGAAAGGGAATTGTGGTATCTCAGTAGAAATATATTCTGGATATGATCGGTTGTTGGCCAGCAAGCCCTATAGACCCCAACCAAAAACATGGGAGTGAAGGCAAAGGAGACCCTGTAGACACAATTCAATATCATAGATTAGTGGGAAGGTTAATTTATTTATCCCATACTTGTGTCGATATAGCCTTTGCAATGAGTTTGGTGAGCCAATTTATGGAACCACCAGATGAAGAACATTTGGAAGCTATCCACCAGATTTTAAGGTAATTTAAAAGTGCTCCAGGCAGAGGATTTTTCTTTTGAAGAAGCTAGGCCAAAAACTATTGAGATATTCAGAGGCAGATTGGGCAAGATCTATTACTTATCGTAAATCAACATTCACTTATTGTGCTCCCAAAACCTTGTTCAAGCATGTTGAAATTGATAAACATTTCATAAAGGAGAAGCTAGACACTGGCGTAATTTGTATGCCCTTTATTCCTACTTCACAGCAAGTTATTGACATTCTTACTAAAGGATTGTTCAAAACCAACTTTGAGTTTCTTGTAAGCAAGTTGTGCATGTGGGACATCTATGCTCCAACTCGACCGGGTTGTTGATAGTTGTATGTCTATACTAGGAATTAATAGACAACTAGATTTTATTTTCTAGAAGTAGAAGATTGAATAATTAATCAGATTATTCTGATTTGATTATTTTTGGATGAAAATGAAATCTCTCTGATTTGATTTGATCCCTTTTTATTTATTGTCCTTTCTACATTTATTATGTAATTAGCAGCCTTGTCTATTTATCATGTGTGTAATAGTGTTAGGAGACAGTTATGTGTGGTGTTTGACATTTCTGGACAGTTAGAGCCTCTATAGGAGTTTCTAAACTCTGGGACAACATGAAATTGCTGTAATTTCTGTAATATATATTTAAGACTATTTTCCATCCATTACAATTGGTGTTCTATCAATACTCTTTTATAACCTGTTCAAATATGATTTGTCAGCTGGAGGCTGCTGCTGTTAACTTGGTCACTAGTGAGAAGCCAGCTGATGTTTACTCAGAGATTGCTGTTAGGTATGTTAAATCCATTGTCAGAAGCTTGTACACTTCACATTCAAACCACCGTGCCATGATACATTATTGCAAGCTCAATGCCTTTCACATCATTCATTACCTTACCCCCTTGCTGAAGTCTGAATGCAAAATGCAGTACTTTCCCAACTACATTGAAAGTACTAATATCGCTTAAATAGTTGCTTTTTGGTTAAAATCTGTAACTTGTGAGCTACTTTGGGTAAGTATACTACTATATTATCTTATAAGTAGTTTGTCTACACCCAAACAAAGTACTAAGTACACAGTACAATCGATTTCACCAACTTTACTATGCATGATCAATATTTAACTTTTACTTGAATATTTGAGCAGGGTTCATGATATTATGAGAAAGGACAGTAACAAAGACCCAGCTGTCTATCCAAATGCTTTGTTGGCAAAAGTTCTAATTGATCAGGTCAATATTTATTTAAAATATATGTTCCTCCAATTAGGTATAATCTCTTCTTTTTACCCACCCAACGTTTGGAAGCTTTCAGATTGATAGAAAACTGGTCAAACAGACAGTGATGACTTCAGTTTATGGTGTTACTTTTGTTGGGGCACGAGAGCAAATGAAGAGAAGATTAGAGGAGAAAGGCCTTATTACTGATGAACAACTTTTATTTACTGCAGCTTGCTATGCTGCTAAAGTAAGTTTCGGCCATGTTATACGGACTTATATTAGCAGTTAGAAACTGCAATGGATGACTTGATGTGAATTTCCTATCCTTGTATCAATTATTCCCTACTGGAACACTTATAGTAAAGAAAATGTAATCCTTTCATCATTTTCACTTATATAGGTCTTCTGCAACAGAATTGTCAGTTTTAGCAATTGTAATCCTTTTCATTGAAAGATTCAATCAAAGTTTCTTTCTGTTTTATATGTCTTATATTTTGATACTCTCATCATTCTATAGGTGACATTAACTGCCCTTGGAGAAATTTTTGGAGCTGCACGTGTCATTATGGGTTGGCTTGGTGATTGCGTAAAGGTTTGGTCTCATAGCATGTTGGACTTAAAACCCTATTCGTTTGGGCACTATTCTGTTGTGCATGTGTGTGCCTGCATATTTGCAAGCTTTCTTTCTATTCCTAAATGGTAGGATCTGAAACTTTTTATAGGTGATTACTTCTGAAAATCATCCTGTCAGTTGGACCACTCCTCTTGGTCTTCCAGTTGTACAACCATACTATAAAACTGAGCGCCATCTGGTAAGCTTTTATTGATAAATGATCCCCCCGCTTTCTTTTATGTTATAGGTATTAATTTGCTCATTAGTGACTAGTTTAAACCAACTTACTAAATGTACAATGTGAGATATCCACCTAAGTAGTTAAAAGAATGAATTTTGTAATAACCCACTTAAGGAGGTAACTTATGTGACATTATGCAATGGATTAACAGATTGGACTGCAACTGTAGATCTTTCTTTAACACGATGCTTCCATATGGCTGTAATTGTTGGTGTTTCACCATTTTCTTGATCAGTTGTTATACTAAGATTCGTAATCGTTGTGAACATATTTTGGATTACTTCGTTTTTGGTGACTCATCCCTGGAGTGTGAAAACTTTTGAGACGTTTGGTGATATATTTAATCCAATAGTCTATCAATTGTGAGACACCTGAACAATGTCCAGCTATTGGGCAATGCAACGGAGATAGACCAGTCAGTTTACCTGCAGAATATGTATAATAATAAGTTAATGATGGTGGCTCTAAGACTCCACTGCAGTTACTACTATTTTGCTATCCTGATATTTTCTCATATTTCTCGACCATTATAATTGTGTGCTTGTCTGCCTCTCCAAGCACACTACAGGTATTGAGAAGCGCTTGTTTTAAGCTGCATAGATTTTTAGGCGCTGTGTATTTCATAGAATTAGCTGTAAAAACCCAAGACAGGAGCCAATAATTATACATTTTAATCAACACATACAGTTTAAGAAACTTTTTACTATCTCGAAGCATGACACTTACGAATCTCGCCATTGACTGCAGATCAAAACATCTCTTCAGTTTTTGGCTTTGAGAAGAGAGGGTAATGAAGTAAGTGACACAGATCTCTTTTTTGCAGCTTTCCATTCTTTCTGATATTTTCAATTAAAACTAGATGCATTCCAGGTAGATGCCAAGAAACAGAGATCAGCATTTCCCCCAAACTTCGTACATTCACTAGACAGTTCACACATGATGATGACTGCTCTTACCTGTAGGGATGCTGGCTTATGTTTTGCAGGTTTTAGTATTTCCTTTCACTAACAAAAAATCCTTAAGCATATACAAAATTTCCATCTAAAGTCGTGGACAAATATACAATATTAGTTTAATACTTATTTTTTTTTCTTGTTCCAAGAGAGGCTGTATAGACCTAGGAAGTGAGGGAAGTGAAAGGAGTCAAGAGTTTGAGAGGAGTCAAAATCATGTTTGTTGCCATTGCTTCTTGAGCTCTCTACTCATTGGGTGCTTTAAGACTTCTAAGTTTCATCTATATTGATAGGCGACAATTTTCTCTTTCATATTTTTTCTAAATCAGTTTCTGAAACTGGAAGATGTTAGGAATTGAATTAGAATTGTGTAAGTTTATCACAAGTTTAAGAGAAAGAGCAGTTCATTTTCAAGCCTACCTTTTTTCAGATGTGTTACTTATTTCTTTAGTTTAATTTGATCCAAATGTTGAATATTGCAATTTGCATCCTTCAAATTATAGGCCCTATTTTGCACAGTTCAGAAAACAAACTAAACACATCCCAAAACTATTGCTTTGGATCAATTTAAATTTATAAGTGTATTGCAATATCATGTTGGAGGTTATGATGATAATTCTCAAGGCACATTTATGTTAGTAAACCACTGTAGCTAACTCCGTACTCTAATTATCTTGTTTAGTTAATATATTTATTTACTCCCAACTTTCACTTTATATGCTCATTTTTTTGAGAAACTTGGTGGCAAAGCAAGTCTTTTATAGAAAAATACATTTTTATGTTTTGGTGCTTAAATGTTGTGAAATAAATGTGTATGCAGGGGTTCATGACTCGTTTTGGACACATGCATGTGACGTGGAGAAAATGAGTTACATTCTTAGAGAAAAATTTGTAGAACTTTATAACATGTCAATACTTGAAAATGTAAGGTTTTGTTGTATCATGAGAAACGTTGGCTTATGTTATGGGAGTACATGGAGAAAAGTTATTCTTCGTTTCTCATCACTAAATATTAAACATCATGATAGCATCACCCAACTTAATGCAAATCTTTTGCCTTTTAAACCAACAGAGGGAGAAAGAAAACCTTATTATTTGATCTGTTGACAGTTGCTGGAAGGCTTTGAGACATCATACCCTGGATTAGTTTTCCCTCCTCTGCCAGAGAGAGGTGATTTTGACTTGCGGAAGGTTCTCGAGTCTCCATACTTCTTCAACTGAACGTTCCTTCAAAGGAAGCTATAACGAGGAAGCTATAGCAAGGTTCCATGGAAGTGTTGTTACCTTGACTTTTGAGGCAAAACAGTCTGAAACTTCTGCTTCTGAGACAATTTTCATCTGGTCTCAGAAGTTGTAATCAAAGAAAGAACCCAAGTAGCTTGTGGGAAAGCCTTGAAGGAAGTCTCCTGTCACTAGAATGCTCAGAACAATACTTGTTTGGCTGGTCTAAGAGGAGATAAGCTTTGACCATCCTTTACATATCTAATGTTGGTGATTTCCTCCACTCAAATTGGGTTTGTAGAAAGGCTTATGCACAATGCAGAGCTGAAGACCTTTGCTGATTATGATAATGTAAACCATTTTGTTTTCTGTTTACATGTACTATAATGTATGAATGTTTGTATTACACCTAAGATTGAAAGATAGATCGTTAGGTATAGAATCAATCATTTTTTTTAACTTGTACATACAACTATTCATTCCATTGACTTCAACTATAAATTTCAATTATATATATAAAAAAAATTGAAATAGACAGCTGAGTTCATTTTAGTTATGTCAGCTTTGAACTAGACAATATCCAGTTGATGCTACTAATCAGATATAATTTAATTTCTATGGTCTGCAAAGAGAACTATGGTCATATACTCTTATTTTGCTATCTAATGTTTTGCAGTAATATTTTGCTTTTAAATTTCGACACATGTAACATATCCTTAAAAGTAACCAAAACTCAAAAAGCAACATGGTATGAAAATGGAGACAAAATTAAAGTTCTTAAGCTAAAGTTATAATAGTTAAATTAGTGATCTAACAAATGATCGCTCAATTTATTATCAAACTAACAAGAAAAAGGCAACAAAACTATGCCAATATTGTCAACTTAACACAAGCTTCACACTCTATCATCATGAATGAACCAATTAATATGGTAGATAGTGTACGAAACATTGGTTCTTGGGGCAAAATGATTAAATATTGCCTCTAGGCTCCATTATCTACTGAGCTGACACAATTGCTAGTACAGACATCTGCTAACACCAATTATAAATGTTTTTCACCTTTTTTATGACCGACACGTGATTCCATGGAATCTGTATTCTCTAAGAAAAATTAGGTTTTAAAATAACCAAGGTCCATTGCATGTTAATAGTACTAACAGCTCAAGTATCTAATCAGATCATGCAAGTACAATAACTTAATAATAGAAGGAAGATCAACTGATCACTTGTCATGTATACTTAGAATGTTTCAATCAACTAAACCAACCCCGGTTAGTCTATTGGTGTAATTTATGTAGCTTGCATGGTAACTTATATTTTATCCTCATTGTTTTCATTACACACACAGAAAAAAAAAATGTCTAATTAACCCAGTGATGTATTTAGATCAAATTTGCCTCAGTTCAACATCTTATGTATATAAGTAGATTTATAAATCAGAAAACATCAAAATTTTGATTTGAATTAACAATCTTGTCTTTTTTCACATCCTAAGTTGACTTAAGCCACATAAATCTTGCAATATGCTCACAAATTTAATCTTAGATTGTACTTTAAGACAATTTTTGGCTTTGGCCAGAGAAAAAATTGAGTCAATAATGTTTTATTCTGACAAGCTTTCTTCTCACCAGCTGAATTGATTGATTTGTTAACATTAGCAGGGCAAAGAGAAATAAAGATACTGTACAGTGTGTTTGCCTGTGTAAGTTCTTTGTAACCACCACTTTCATAGATTTTTAAACACAGGTCTGATAAATGTACAAAAAAACTGAGATCGCATTGAAGATTGAACTTCAAGAGCTTGTATGTCATGGTAATCGCCAGTACTATTTTTTGCTTTACCCGTCTTAATCCCCACAACTACTCTTTTGTACTAACAAAACAATAGCTGCACCAAATGCATTAATTTGCAGTGGACCACCGTAAACTGATAATCTTTCTTTCATCATCAGGGCTGCTTTTCTTTTATAAAGAGAGCTGATACTATTATTACTCCTTTCAACAAAACTCATGAAAATAAAACACTAACTTTGATATTTTTGAAAAGAGTCACATAGCAATCATATATTAGTATTTTGGTTTATACATAACAAGTTTTTTTTTACACCATCAAAGTTAAAATAATAAAAAAGATTATTTTCATAGACCTAAAGATTAATTCCATTTTGTTTAGATTATTGGAGAGAGATAGAGAGCGAGAAATGATAACAGTTTTGTCATTCTTTAGTGATTAGGAAAAGAAACAAAAACCAGCTAGAGTGCTACAAACGCCAGAAATCATAATCACCTACTTACAAATCACTGATACCATTCCACGTTAGTTAAACATAGGATTGATTTTAGAAATTTATAATTATAACAAATTGAGGTTATCTAAGCTGAGTTTGGCTGTGTCAGTATACTTATCCATTTGCTTACATGTCACATATATATATATATACACAGAGAGAGAGAGAGAGAGAGAGCATGTGGACTGCAGCAGAATCTATGAATGTGCCCTCAGTGTCTCTGGCAGACATACATACGTATGATATGACCATAGATAGATACATGCTTACTCCACTAGTTGATGAATTCATGTTCTGTGCTGTGCTGTGGTGGTCCTTCTCAATCTCCATGTCACTCCTTTTAAGGTCACACATCACTGTCTTATATGCTATGTGTTTTGCCCATAGCCTCTTATATCCATGCAACTCTCTCTCTCTCTCTTACCTTTTTTTTTTTTTTTAACAATTCTATTCTTCCATATATCTCCATCTTCAAGCAAAATCATTCATCGCCACTCTTTCTTTTTCCTGCTATAGTTTCTCTGATACAAGTTTTTTATCCTATAAGATCTTATGGGTCTTGGTTTATTTTATTCTTTTTAAGATTTTCTTTAAGTTTTCTTCTAACAAATTGATAAGATCTACGCTTTTGTAAATTTTACTTTTTATAATTTAAAAATCAATTTAATATGATTATAGTTATATAAATGAAAAATAATATATACACTTTATTTTTAGTAGCGACATTTCTTTAATTATTTATTCACGTTATATTTTGTCTTCTCAAATTTAGAGATATTTATTTTTGAATGGGTTTACTCATCTTTCTTCACATATCACATGAAATTAACAAATACAAATAATCGAATTTTTACGTGAGTCCATTCTCTCATTTTATTGATTATTGTACATACATGAAAATAATCATGAACTTAATGAATATTGCACCAGGATTTTATAAACTTTTTACTGAGTTATTTATATTTAAAAAATTATTATTTAATTCTTAAGACTCATGATCTTGTACTAATTAAACCTCTCATCGTACTGCTACAACGTTATAATTAAAATGTCTTATAAGATTTGAGTCTAAAAGTTAAAGCATATATTAAAAGCTCTAACAATAATCACCAATTGCATAATGTAGTAGGGTTATGCCACATTGTTTATATTTGGAGTTGGTGTCTATTCATTTTTTTGAGAAATTATTAAATCATTTTAATTAAACCACTACATAATATTATCTGTGTGTTTCTGGTGGAATTTCGATCGATTTCGATTCTAAGGGTATTTTGGTCTTTAATCGAAATCCTCCCACGTAAGCTCTTTTTACTTAGGCTAGCAATTTGATTTTCAATCGAAAACGTGTATGAGAATCGAAAATTACAGGATATCGAAAATGCTGTTTTTGGTATTTTGTATTTTAAAGTATCGAAAGCAGTAAAAGTATCGAATCAAGAAACAATGTTAAATTGCAAGAAAATGTAAAGAGCGAAAATCCAAATTTGCATCAATTGTAAATGACGAGGAATCGAAAACAGCGCAAATATAAATGACAAGAAATCGAGATTGCAAGAAAAGTAAATGACAGGAAATCGAGATTTGCAGAAAGTTGAATAACAGGAAATCTAACTGCAGAAACTCAAATTTTCATTGAATTGAAATGACAAGGAATCGAAAATACGAAACATAAAACTGCTGAATTTAAGTTGCATCAAAGTAAATTACCAAGGAAAATACAGAAGCGGTAAATGTACTCGGTGAGCAAGGAAATCCAGATTGCCAGAAGCTTCATGGTGTTCGTCGTTTCTCCGGTAGACTTTTCACTACTGATTCTGTTCTCTGCCAATTTCTGCTCCCCCCCCTGTTCCTTCCTCCTTTGCTCTATTTATAGGGCATCCTTCAAGCCTTCCGAGAGCAGTTAACGCGACTGCTACCACGTTGTACGTGCGTATGGCAGTTTATCTTCTATAGTTCCCCACGTTCTCACGATCTCCGACTTGTTCCCATGATTTCAAAACTGCTTTTTATACTTGCATTCGACTTACTTCCTTTCACAATTTGGCCAAAGTCTCGATGTCCACATTGGCTTTCTTTACTCTCGATTCTGTATTTTTCGAGAACTTCGAATTGCTTACGATTCCTTTTTAACCCTAGTTTTATATGACTTAGTTTTTATTCGACAACAGTCATTTGATTATAATTCATCCGATTCTCGATTGTGTTTCTCGATGCTATATGCTACGTATTTCTAATTAGACATCGAATGAATTTTTGTTTATCTTATCGAGTCACATTTCTTCCCTTCGATTTCGATCGCTTTTCTCGATTTGCCACTAACAAAATGCCCCCTTGGAAGAATATAAATGATTTCTGTTTTATATTCTTTCAATATTCCCGCCTTAGTGTTTGAAAGCCCACAGGATTTAGGGTTTAAGGTTTCTGGGGTTCTAGGGTTAAAAGGGGTTTTAGGTTTCTTTTCCACTTTACGTCGCCGTCTCTTCAGTCTGTTGTCTTTCAGTACAAGTTACATTAATTACCTTTCCCTTCGTCGCTTCCAACTCCCTAGACGATTTCCCTTTAACCTTTCCTTGGTCTTTACTCCGGTCTTTACGCGAACTATCACCTTCTTTGCAATCTCATCTTCTCCCTTGAGCTCCTGCCTTCGTCCCTATTACCTCATCCGTTAACTCTTCCCTTTCGTTTTTCTAAGCTCACTTCAATGGCCGGCTCATCAAAATCTTCTGACTTTTCCGCTCCACCCCTTTCTTCACTACCCTCTAACCTGCTGGAGATCAACAACCAGAGGTTCGCTCCAGTTCCTCTGATGGAGGAAGCTTCCAAAAAGATTGTTGAAACGCAGGTAT